AATGAAACACATTTAAAATTTGGGTGAAAAAAGTAACCAAACTGTGACTGCCTATGGGGGTACAAGTAACATGATTTTGTTACTCTAAGCTGATTTTCATATCTTTATTTGTCTTAGCTAAGGCAAACAAAAAAACTACTCATGCAGGATAGAAAAGTAAAGGTGGAAGAGTTTGTGGCATGGACCGAACTACTGCTGTAAAAAAAAAAAACAGAAACTGTTTAACAATTCCAACTAGTTCATAGGTCTTCATTTACTTTGAGTATACTGACTAGAAGCTAGCCATAAAAGATGAAAGAGCAAGGATTTTGAAAACTTTGTGGAATGAGGTTGATTGCTGCTACCATTAGAGGGGGTAGAAGTTGATTGACAACACAAAAAAATAAAATAAAATGAAGTTCCAACCATTTTGTAAAAAAACTAAAACCAGAAACATAGAACAAATAGAGCCTTAGACTTCATCAATAATCATGACAAAGCTAAAGCATGCAAGGAGCAAACAAAAACATTGTGTAGAAAAAATCATGGCAAGTGTAAAAATGGTGTAGCGAATAGATAATACAAAGGCCAACATATATCTTTTTTATTCTTAGCTTCTTTTTTTTTTTAAAGCCTTTCTCTTCCTTTTTTTTAGCCAGCCTCTATCTCTATTTTTATCCAATTGGTAGACCTTCCTCTCAAGAGAAAGATCTCAATTTCGATCAATGAGGGCTTTTGGATGAAATCTCATCCAAGGGTCAAAGTTTCTCTTTTTCTATTTTTTCAAGGAGCCACCTTTGGCCATTGGATCAAAAGTCAGCACAAGATCCAATAGCCCACATTAAACACTATAAAAGTTAAATTTTTATACCCCTCAAACCCATAAAAGACTAGTTTGCATCTAGTGTAAAGTTTTGATATTTATGGTCATTTTTTTAGAAATCAATGTTACCATGATCATTTTTTGAATTTTAAAACACAAAAAATCATGAAATATTATGAAATTAAGATCTGAAAAGTTTCCTAAAAATTTGAGTTCGAGAAGGTTAAATTACAAAAATACTCTTATAAAGATATTTTTATAATTTCATACTTTTTAAGGTACTGCTATAATTTTAGATGTATCAAAAATCATGAAATATTATAAAATTAAGATAAAAAAAGTTTCATAAAATTTTGAGCTCGAGAAGGTTAAATTATGAAAATATCTCTTAAAAGATATTTTAGTAATTTTACATTTTTTGGGATATTGCTGTTGTTTCAAATGCACCAAAAATTATGAAATATTATAAAATTAAGATTCTAAAAAATTTCATGAAAATTCAAGCTTGAAAAGATCAAATTACAAGAATATCCTCTATAAAAGTATTTTAATAATTTTGCCTTTCTTGGGACATAATAAAAATTTTAGTGTTTGAAAAAATTCAAAATTCGATTTTAAACCACATTAATTTTAATTAAGTTTTGAATTTTTAGAATTGGCCTAGGCTCTTATCTATTTTAATTAAGTTTTATGTAATTTTAACTTTGTTGATCGGATTTGACTCGAGTTGACTTTATATTTCTGAACAAGTAAATCTGAGAACCCTTTATGGATTGTAAACGATCATTCTAAATGATCTCGGCTCATATTCACAAATGAGTTTTGGATAAATCATGTTAAAAAATGCTTTAAATAAAATTTAATGTCTACAATAAGTTACAAGTCCAAATTAAGTAGGTAAGCAACTTAGTTTTTCCTTTCATATCTTTTTTTTTTCGTTTTTCTCAAAACAAGCTTATTCCTTCATTCTTCCATTTTCTTTGTCTATAATTTATCTCTCTAAATCCAATATGTAATATCAAAATAAAACTTGAGATCTACTAACATCGAAAAGATTTCAAACAAAAAGAAGTGTCTACAATTATAACAAAAGATTTAAATATTTTAAATATAAAATTTTAAGTGATTTTGAGGAGATTTAAGGTTTTTTAAATGGATAAAAATCCGACGGAAAAAAATAGAAAAAGAATAGAAGAGGTCTTAGCTCTAAATAGTTTATATTAATGGTGACAACAAATTTTTAAGTTGGAGGTTTGAATTTTAAAATTTAGATCCTGACATTTGGGAGGAGATTTGAAAAAAATGAATCGAGAAAGAGCAAAAGGAGGATAAAAGAATTCGAAAAAAACCCTTTTTTTGGGGTATTTTGACAATATGAACACTGGCGAGCATCGTCATCAGTGACGCAAGTGGTTGTTTTTTCAAAGAGAAAATTGATGGTTGGTGATGAAATTAGGGAAAGAGGAAAAGATGAAAATGGGAAAAAATCTTTAGTATCCAAGGCTTACGAAAAGCTAAATAAAGGAATATGGACCATCAACATTTGGAGTATTCGAAAAGCCAAAAAAAAAAAAAAAAAAGAAATAACCCAGGTGAACTGACCCGTAATTTTGGGCCATTAAATTTTAAAACTTTTTGTTATAAATAGTTTATAAATTTATTTTTAATAAAATATATAATAAAAAATAATTTACATATATATTATTTTATACTATAAAAAAATAAATAAAAGCATAAAGCTAATATGCTTAATTAAGATTAAATAATGCATTTGAAATAAATTTTTTTAATTTTAAACATAATATATTACTGTACAAGAAATTACATAATGCATGAAAATTATATTCATGCTTAAAATTTTTTTAGTTTAATCTTTAAAACATGGAGATTGAAAACTTACTTTTTTGATAGACACATACAACAGTGTAGTCACATGGAGGATAGTAGGGTTAACCGACTCCATTGGCATTTGAAAATTTATATAATATATATTAATATATCATAATCATAAATATGATTCAGCTGAAAATAAAATTAGAAAATAAGTTGACTCCACTAAAAAGAAATTTATCTTCTTGAAAAGAAAATTTGAAGATTAAGGTAGAGTAAAATATAGTAAAAGAATGTTGGGTAAGTATATAATTAGTGAAAAACAGAGTTTACAGATTTAATTTTTTATTCAAAATAATTAGTAAAAAATAAGAGGTAAAACAAGGAATATATTATTATTTACTCACTAATTTTTTAATAATAAAACTATTTTTTATTTTTCCAATTACAATGGTAAGTATGCAAGAAAAATTTTCAATAATGAACAAAATGAGTATGTAAATAATTATTTGATTATTTGGGTATATTAATGATGAGACAATTGTACAACAATTTTTAAAATATGAAAGCTTTTCATGATAATTGTGAAAGAATATCTCTACATTGAATTTTTTTGGATTATTTTATTTTTTAATCTGTAATATCTATAAAAGAGGTTTTAAATTTTATAAATGAAAAAATTTATATTCATATAGTTTATGTATTTTAAAAAATAATATTCTTTCCATCACTTTTTGTATGCTTCTTTTTGGCTTAAAGGTATAAAAACTATAATTAAAACATCATCAAAGTCTTTATTTTTTTAAGTAATCAATCAATCTTTTACTATTTATTTATATTCAATTAAATTTTTATTTGGAGAAAAGAATTCTACTAACATAAATTTCATATAATATCAATAAAATATATGAAAATTTGCTATATGATGTTATTAATAAATGTGAAAATTAAATAATTAAAATTTTTTTCTTTTTTTTTTCTATTTTCTTCCCTCTTTAAGATTTTTTTAAGAGTTCAATTGATTGTAATTTATGGATTGATTAATTAAATTTTATCACATTACTAGATTTCATCCATTTAGGGGTTCAGTTTAGTCAAAATAAAAGATTAAATATTTGATTAATTACAATAAAATGTAAAAGACTTGAATGATTATTAAATTGTAATTTAAATGTATTTTTTACCTTTAAGCCTTCCTTTTTTTACTTCAAATTAAAAAATTAATATATTCTAAAATTTTTAACAAAATTGATAGTGTTTCGTAATAGGTTAAAATACTAAAAAAGTCCTTAATCTATTTCACTTCTCTAAATTCCTTAATCTATTTCACTTTTTTTAAGCCGTTATACTTTTGTTATACTTAAATAAACTTTTATTCTTTGATTTGTATTCAAATAAGCATTCAAATAATTAAAAATTAAGAATTTATTTAAATACAACTTAAAATTAAAGAACTTATTTGAATAGAGTAAAAGTATAAAATTTTATATAAATAAAGATGTGAAATTTAAGGATTTTTTTAATTATTTTAGCCTCCATAATTTTTAACATAAGAAGTAAATAATAATCTTGAAAAATTAATATTAAATATAGAAAAAAAAGAAGCAAAAAAGATAAAAAAATGTTAGGGTTTAAAAAATGAAAAAAAAATTAAGAGATTTTTCAAAAAAATCAAATAAATAAAGAAAATGTAACTCCATAAATGTAGTAGCATTTTGATCCCACTGAAAAAAATTGTCAACATCATTGGGCATATACATACGTTGATCATTATATAAAATATTTAAATATTTATTTTATTTTTAATTATATTTATTAAATTTTTTGAAAAATTTAATTAAATATATTAATTAAAATATACAAAATATAAGCATTTTTAAAAATTAAAAATATTTAAATAAAAAATTTATCTACGAAATGTAGACAAAATTCTTAGTATAATTATAAAATCGTTACACGTGTATTGTAAAACATGTTTTAATGAGTAAGAAATTCAAGCTAGCTATGATAAAATAAAAAAATATTCTCAAAACATTAACTTTATTTATTTTATGGGTTAATGTTATAAATAATTTTAAAATTATAATAAAATATTTAATAAAATATTTAAATTTTAAAAAATTTTAATATATTATTTGAATTATGAATATATTAATATAATTAATTTTAAATAATGATATATGATAAATAAATAATTTTAAATATTATATTAATTAATTAATTTTTAATTTAAATATGATGTGAATTTTAAAAAAAATAATATCATATTAAATATTTAATTATAATTTAAAAGTTTATGATAATAATTTTTTTATTGATAAGGCAAGTGCGGAGAAGGCACGCTACTCTTTTCTTTATGCTAATTTTTTCTGACAGTAGATGATTGAAGTTAAAGTTGAAAGCGATGTGAAGTGCACTATTGCTCCCTATCTTTCTTCTTCTCTCTTCCTCTCTTTGCTGAAAGGCTTATCCTCGATCACATGTTATATATATGTGCTAAAAACCTCAGAAGCATCTCAAAAGGAAATAATATTAAAAGAAAATGGTGATATCGACCACCTATCCCGCGGCGGAGCAGCAGGTTCAATCCAGTACTTTTGCTTCCAGATATGTCCGCGAACCCCTTCCTAGGTATATACTATATGCCTTTCCATCTCATAATTAAACTTATTATCTTTTTTCTTTTTCTTTTTTTGTTGCCATCTTCTTCCTTCTGTATGCAGCTAAAACAGTTTTAATGACTGCTAAAACGAAGATAGAAGCTGACAGAATGCTAAAAGAAAAAAAAAAGATATTATTATAAAAATATACTGAAAATATATTATTGTACATTATTTGCTGAGAAATTTGCAAAGCGGGGATTTTATTTTCTTTTATGAAGGACGAGGGAATTAATGCAAAGGGTAATTGAAAGTAATGACAAATGATTTTATTTGTTGAATTGTGAATAAAGGATCACAATTACTTATTCACCCTTAATTGCAATATTAGATTTTCTTTCTTTCACCAAAAGGAAGAGAGAGACTAGGTAAGGTTGATCTAGCCACGATCCAACCGGATGTACCCAGTAGAGTGGAGGCGTTGTCCGACGGCCTGGCTGGATGGCTTGATTGGGCAGTGGCATGATCAGATCTGGCCCACGAATGCCATTTTCAGCCTCATCTAGCTGGATGCAGTGTCGGGTGATATAGATCCACCGATCCATCATGCTGATCCGGCCCGATAACGGTTGGAATTGTCCTTAGCATGCTATATCTAATGACCAAATACATTGTAGTCCACTGCTGTCGATGATCGTCTCCTTTCTTCCCTTCCTGAAATCCAAGATAGAAAATAGAAGAGGTGGCGATTGGCGGGCCGGGTTTATGTCGGGTCATTTTCTATTGAGTCGTTTTGAGCGGCTTATTGGATTCGAATAATTTCAGTCCAATTTCTTTTTGTTATTTTTTTAAAATTTTGGGTAATCTTTTGTTCAGTTGTTTTGGATTTGGATTGGACAAATTCAAATTATCGACTTTTCTTTATCAGAATTAAGTTGTTTTCAAATTCCAACGGAGCTAATGGATTTTTTTTGGATTTTATCGGCTTGTGAAGTCTAAAAATTATTATAAATTATAAAACATAAGGATAAAATAGTAAATACAATTTCTTAATATCAGGATAAATTAATATAAAATAAAATAAAAGAGTAGTTGGAGCTTTGAAAGACGAGTGATCCCACTTCTGTTTCCCGTTGCCATTTTAGGCTTTTGTTTTCTTTATGCTTCATCTTTCTTCTTTTTTGATTTTTTTTTTTTGATTTTTTCTTTAATGGATGGAGAAGCTTTTTACCTTTTAAATGCTCGCTTCGTCTTTGTTGTTTGGTTTTTGAATGATCCAAAATTATGCAAATTAAATAAAGAAAATGGGTTTGTGATGGAGGAATTTTTTTTAATTTAATTTTTTGCTTTCCGGGGGTGAGGAGGTGGTGGGACACAATCCAAAGCTCCATATTGAAATTAAAAATATTGAATATTTAAATAAAAATCTGAATATGTCAAAATGAATAATATAAGGTTTATAAATGCTTTTCATTGATAATGGACTCACCGCTAAACAACAAAAGGTTTAAAATATTTAAACTGTAAAATGTTTTCTTCAACTCCACATGTCTACTTTCAACACATGAATAACATAATGAAAATGAAGATTTTTCATTTTATAGAATATTGTATGATATATCTGTGTTTTATAGAATATATGAATGAAGATTTTTTTTTTATTTTTTGAAAATGCATGAAATAATTTAATTCTTTGAAGTTCATTGGAAAAATTTTATCTTGCTTGTGGAATTTAAAAACTCCACCTTTGATGTATAAAATAAAAATCTTACGTATAAATTAAGATATCTATATATTTTTATTTTATATAAATGCAATAAATATTGTAGTCATATTAGCATAATAATAGTATAAATTTAATTTTATATAATAAAGATAATTTTGTCTAATAATTAATGTGAAAAGGTGATATAATATAGGTAATGTGATCTCACCTCTTCAAGAAGTGATACCATTTGAAGGGGTGATGGAGGATCATTCCTTGGTATGATCACTTAGACAACCAAACCACATGATCGAATCACCATTAGATGTATCACTCCTATTACTTGCTCATGGAATATGGCCAATGCAATTTATAGAGAGGAGACAAAGCAGTGGCTGCAATGAACTACAATGGTTTGCATATAATTATCCCTAGTTTTGTTTGTTTTATTTTAGTGGGATTGATTAAAATTTTGAACTGAACTAGGCATTAGTCAATATGATTTAGATGGAAGGAGGGAAGGTGTTAGCCAATATGATTTAGATGGAAGGAGAGAAGGAGGGAGAGCAGGAGAGAGATACGAAGTTAAGAGAAAAGATTTTTAAAATTTTAAAAAAATGAAATTCACTTAGAACATCACTCTTGAAATTTACTTAGAACATAACTCTTTTATATTAAAGTTGTTTTATATAATTTTAGATAAAAACAATAATAGTTATTGATGATAAAGGTTTTTTTTTTTTTTTTAATCCAAGGTTATGTAGTCTAATTTTGAAGTCATGAATGGATGCAGGTTCAAGATGCCAAAAAATTCAATGCCCAAAGAAGCAGCATATCAAATAATAAATGATGAATTGATGCTTGACGGAAATCCAAGGTTGAACTTGGCATCTTTTGTGACCACATGGATGGAGCCTGAGTGTAATAAACTCATGATGGCTTCAATAAATAAGAACTATGTTGACATGGATGAATACCCTGTTACAACTGAGCTCCAGGTATTTTTCTTATTTGCAAATGAAAAGCAAAATAGGTTACTGTTAAAGCTTAATGTTTTAGAAAATGTATAATAATTGATTTCAATTCATCCTGTTAACTCAAGTGTAAATAACAATCTTAGAGGGGTGAATTGGATTATGTTCAAATTTTTACCAAAAATAAATTTCAAGTAAATGTAAAATGAAAAATTAAAAATATAAGAAAATTATGAAATTAATGTACGAATAAATAACTTGAAAGATTAAAAGAGAAGGGATAAAAAAGATCAAACACAAAGATGTATAGAGGTCTGGTCTTTCTCCAACAAGATGCTTATGTCACGGACCTAAGGAGGAGTCATGAATCTCACATCGGACATAAAAGAAGGGTCACTGGGGTATAAAAAGGTTCACATCATCTTTTTCTTGTGAGGCGCCTTTTGTAAGACAAAACTGTGAGGCCAAGGGGATCAGAGCGGACAATACCTCACAAGGGTGTGAATTGTGACGGTTAGACTGATCTAGGACATCGAATGAGTGGATGTCTGGGTCTTGGAGTCGTGGGGGTTGGAGCTTAAGTCTTGGTCTGTGACAAGTGGTATCAGAGCTAGTCCTAAACCGTTCGATCCACATCAAGTGCCTCGAGGGAGGTAGGTAGGGTGGCCAGCCTCCGTGAGGAGGGCGTCATGAGGTTGGGTGAGGGAGAATGTCACGGACCTAAGGAGGAGTCATGAATCCCACGTCGGACATAAAAGAAGGGTCACTGAGGTATAAAAAGGTTCACATCATCTTTTCCTTATGAGGCGTCTTTTGTAGGACAAAACCGTGAGGCCAAGGGGGCTAGAGCGGATAATACCTTACAAGGGTGTGAACCGTGAGGGTTAGGCTAATCTGGGACGTCAGCTTACAAAGGTGTGAACCATGATGGTTAGGCTAATGGGACGCCAGAGAAGTGGATGCCTGGGTCCTGGAGCCTCGTGGGTCAGAGCTTAAGTCTCAGCCCGTGACACTTACACCTTCTTCCTTAGCTTTCTTAGTCAAGCTCTAAACGCATTAGTAGAAGGTTATTTTACAAATTACAATCTCTAAGGTCAAGATAGTAACCTTTGGTCCTTTACGCTTTGTAGGATTCTATTCAATCCTTATTACAAAGCTCTTAAGAGGATATATCACCTTTTACTCACTAATCCTCTTTGAATGATAAAGGAATTTGCAAACAAAAAAACGCTCTAATAAGTGGGTGTTTGTAAGTTTTTAGCTCAAAGATGATGAGATGATATAATAAAAAATGAGCGTGAATTAATACAAGAATATGATTTAACACTTGAAATGCTTTAGAAATGAAGAATATTGAGTTTTTATGCTTTTGAGTGTAATCTCTTACTCTCCAATGGATTTGAAGCTTTCTTTTATGTTAGATTATGATTTCTAGTTGTTGTGACTCATTTTGATATACAAAATTTAAGGATAATTTGCTTGATGAAATTCTCCCCTAAATTTATGAACATTTTTGAAAAATAATATTTATGAAAAAGCTCTCCCTCAACTAAAGCATATTTAAATGGTTTTTCAACATTTTCAATTCAATCAACACTACAAATTAATAATTATATCATATAATCTTTTCAAGCACAAATTATCATCCAACATATCATTTAGATTTTTTAAGTGCAACTTATTATCATAATTCCAACTCTTTAAGCATATTTAACCATAAAACACATTTTAACCATATAGCCATCTAGACAAATTTCATTAAAAAATCTCCCTTTTTTTTTGTAATAGCAAAATGAGTACAAGCCATAAGTATAGCAACAACATACAAATGATGCATGAAGCACATAGTTAACAAAACATAAGGGATCGATTGGTTTTTTAACATAAAGCTTTTCCCTTTATTTCAAGCAAAAGGATTGATTCCATTCATAACAAGATTGATCCTTTTGTCTTTAACGGCTATATTTTATTTTCTAAGCATGATGATCAATCCCATATGGTAAAGGATCGGTCCTTTCACACATACAAGTTTGAATAAAGAAAAAATCGAAGGAAGTGATGGTTATTTTTTAAATTCAATGAGTCACAATGGCTAGAAATCATAATCCAACATAAAAGGGAGCTTCAAATATGTTGGAAAGCAAGAGATTACACTCAAAATCATCCAAAGTCAACAATTTTCATTTCTAGCGCATTTCAAGTGTTAAAACCTATTCTTGTATTCATTTAAGCTCATTTTTGTTCGTATCATCACTTCAGCTTTGTACTAAAACCTTTTAAACATCCACCTATTAGAAGTTTTCTTTGGTTTGCAAATTCTTTTGTCATTAACAAGGATTAGTGAATAAAAGATGAGGTATTCTCTTAAGAGCTTTGTAGTGAGTATTAGATAGAATCCTACAAAAGAGGTTGCAATTTTGACCTTGAAAAGATAAGATGTTGTAATTTGTAAAAGAAATTTTTATTAGTAGATTTGGAGCTTGGTTAGGAAGCTAAGGAGAAGATGTAGGCACCATGTTGCAAAAAGGTCAAACCTTTATGCATTGTTCTCCAACAAGGTGCCTACGTTTTTTTCCTTAGTTTTCTTAGTTGAGCTCCAAATCCACTAGTAAAAAGTTGTTTTACAAATTACAATCTCTATCTTTTTTTGGTCAAGATAGCAATCTTTTATCCTTTGTAGGATTTTGCCTGATCCTCTCTCAAGAGGATAATTAATCTCTTGCTCACTAATCCCTTTTGAAAGAAAAAAGAATTTGCAAACCAAAGAAAACCTATAATAGGTGGCTGTTTGCAAGGTTTTAGTAAAAAGGTGAAGAGATGATACAATAAAAAATGAGTTTGAATGAATATAAGAATAGACTTTTAACACTTCAAATGCTCTAGAAATGAAAAAAGTTAACTTTTGATGCTTTTGAGTGTAATCTCTTACTCTCCTTTGTGTTTCTAGCTCCTTTTAATGTTGGATTATGGTTTCTAGTTGTTGTGGTTATTGAATTTGAAAAATAACCATTATTTTCTTCAATTTCTTTTCTTTATTCGGACTTGCTTGTGCGAAGGGATCGATCTTTTACCATATGGGATTGATCCTTATGCCTAGAAAATAAAAAATATAGTCCTTAAAGATAAAGGGATTGATCTTGTTTTGAAGGGGATTGACCCCTTGCTTGAAGAACAAGGGAAAGCTTTCAGTTAAAAAACTGATCGATCCCTTTTCTTGGGCATTGATCCATTATGTGTTCCGAACAAGAATTGATTCTGTTTAAGGCTAGGGAATTTATTGTGTTTCAAAAGAAATCGATCCCGTCCTTGTTTTTCAGTAAAATTCATTTTAGTCATAAAAGAAAGGTTGATTTTGGTTCCAAAACATTTTCTAACAATAGCTATCTTGAAAAATTTATTCTTTTGTGATTAAAGTATATAAAATTAATTTTCCAAGATATTTTTCAAATATTACCAATTATAAACCATTTTTTTATTTAGTACCAAAATGTTTATCAAATTAATAACAATAACTAAATAAATTAAGTTAATTAACCTTAATGTTTCCTTATTTAAAAATAAGGATCAAATCAAGTCAAACACAACCCTTTTTTGTTTATCTAAAAGATAAGAAATTTATTTGATACCACCATATCTAAAAAATGTAAACTCCTATGACAGAGAGATCGTAGCACTCCAGCATAGCAGTTTTACAGCTTTGTGACAGGCTGTTGCAAGATATTGTCTTTGGTAATGAAATTTATGATTATTCTATGAAAATTGTAAAAGTCATCACAACAGCAAAACAAGTGTCTAAGTCCCCAAGCTAGTCAAGGGAAATAGTGAAGAATATACACTTCCAGAAATTGGTGGTTTTAGTTTGGTTTTAGTTGTTTCCATAATGGGTAAAAACAATGAAAGGAAAATAGAACCAAAGAACAATGCTAATTCCATTAGGAGTTATTTTCCCTAAAAATTGTAAATAATAGTGAATTGAGTGACAACTTTTTTGGGTCGTTTGTTTGAATAAAATCAGAAATATATGTTGAAGTTCTATCAAAATTCAAAGGCCTTCACTATTACTCTAGTAGCACATTGTTTGAAACCTAGTCAATTGAGTCCTAAAGTTAAAAAACCATTGTAGACTAATGATACTTTCGAAATCTTTAGAAGGGAAAAGAAGCAAATGTAAGGATACAAATGTACAACTGCCATATATAATTGATATCTAAGCTAATGTAATTTTGTATACTAAGTTTTTAAAGTTCTAAACATACTATTGATGAGGACTGCATAATAGGAGGTAGTTCAATCCAAAAACCAGCTGGCAATAGATAAGAGGCACTTGTTATACTCTTTCTATCCCATTTTCTTTATTTATATTTCCTTTTGGGATATCCCAAAAATATGTTTTTTTTTTTTATAGCATATAAAGCTCTTTTTTTTATATTTTAAAATTATTTTTATGAGTTTTTTAAAACTTTTTGACATTAAAATTCATGAAACTTTAATTTTATAAATTTTTTTTAATTTTAATATTAAATACATTAAAATAGAAGCTTTTTTCTTAAAATCCGTAAAAGTCAATACCACCCAAACAATTTGAGGCGGTTGGAGTATCTAAAAAATGCGCAAGCTATACTAAATTTAATCATTGTGGGATTCATCACCACTTTAATAGAAACCTTTGTTGTTTTTTTGGAGTTATTCGATATATTGAAATCTTATCCATCTCGGTGACAAAATTTCTCTTTTCTTGGTTAATCTCTTTGTAAAAATCTTTATTTTATTTAAGAACCATCTTTTCCATCCTCTCTTCTATAATCTCTTTGTAAAAATCTTTGTGTTCATTTGGGGCTTGCCCTCATGAGAGTTATGATTACTGATTAAATCGTTTCCAAGGTTGAGTAAAGATGTCCGGTAAGAATGAAACAACTTCATTCAAAATTGTAGGTGATATGAATTCCTAGAAGACATTTATTTTTTATCGTTCATTGGTTATATGATCATTTGATATCTAATTGATTTTGTTAGATGAGAAGAATTTCATTGTTTGTTGTACCCTTTAAATTACCTTAACTTGGCTCACTATCTATTATTGAATCAATATTTGCTTTGGTCCTACAGAATCGATGTGTAAACATGATTGCAAACTTATACCATGCTCCAATCGGGGATGGTGAGACAGCAGTTGGAGTTGGGACTGTTGGTTCCTCTGAGGCAATAATGCTGGCAGGATTAGCTTTTAAAAGAAAGTGGCAGCAAAAGAGAAAATCACAGGGCAAACCCTATGACAAGCCCAACATAGTCACAGGAGCAAATGTGCAGGTGCATTTTTGCATATTTACCATTGAAGATACTTGAATTCAGTGTCTTGCACGATTATTTTTACTTCTCTAATGATAGGTATAAAGTACTTTTAACAAAAATAGCAGGAGGATGTGTACAGGGAAATTTGTTTACCGGAAAATGAAAATACAAAATACAAGGTATAGCCTAGAGGTTATGAACAGGTTATATTACATTTATGATCCATTGGGATCGCTGAAGCATGGCTCCAGAATAAGTTGGTGGTTACTTTGGTTCAAAACATCAATAGTGATGTTACTTTTGTCCAAAATAATCAGTTACTAAGCATGCTCTTATCCATAATTTGATGTTTCTATAAGAAGCTCAAAATTTTACCTGAATCACTAATTAGGTAATCGTGAAATGGTGTGAAATGTTCTTGTTATATGCTACACAGGTTTGCTGGGAGAAGTTTGCTAGGTACTTTGAGGTTGAGCTGAAGGAGGTGAAGCTGAAAGAGGGATATTATGTGATGGACCCTGCGAAAGCAGTGGAAATGGTTGATGAGAATACCATATGTGTTGCAGCCATTCTGGGATCTACCCTGACTGGGGAGTTTGAGAATGTCAAGCTCCTTAATGAACTTCTCACCAACAAGAATAAGGAGACTGGTTGGGACACCCCAATACATGTTGATGCTGCCAGTGGAGGGTTCATTGCTCCTTTTGTTTATCCGGATCTTGAGTGGGATTTCCGCCTGCCATTAGTAAAAAGCATCAATGTAAGTGGGCACAAGTATGGCCTTGTATATGCTGGTGTTGGTTGGGTTGTGTGGCGATCCAAGGAGGAGTTGCCTGAGGATCTTGTCTTTCATATCAACTACCTTGGATCTGATCAGCCCACTTTCACCTTAAACTTCTCTAAAGGTAGCATATTCATGCATTTATTGACATGTATTCATTTATCCTTGTACATGACATGGGCATGTGTGTATGAATTAATTTAACTCTAATGCTTAGGCGTATCTCTATGAACTGTGAGTTTACAATTGATATTAGTGCATATAGTATTTTTGTTTCCAGTACAGAGACAAGTTCTTTAGATTGATCCCTGCAATCTTGTTTGTTCAAAGACTGAAACTATATCAAATCTAATTCATCTCATAAATGGTTTCAACGCATGTGAGCCCTAAAAGTTCATAGAAAGCAGGACCTAGCGCAGTATTAAAACAAATGGACCTTGAGGGTGGTTTCTTTTTTTTTGTTGGGGGTGGGGGGTGGAATCTTTAGAATAGCTTCTGGAGTGAAATGGACATTTAGTAGAGTACTACTATGTCTTATTTTATCTATTGATGTTACTCAAGTTCTACAGATTGTATATCTTGAGTTGGCTTTGTGGTAAGATAGGTAGCATAGGCATTGTTTTCATTAGGCAATTTGTTGCAGTATTGACTTCATAATTTATTGAGCTAAAAAACAGGATACTCATGAAATTTTCGCTGTAGTTTTTCATTTCATCAACGTTTTTATTTTTTATTGGTTTTGTTAGTAGGTTGCAGTTGAAACGTAAAAAGTTGTTTTCCGATCGAAGTTATATACAGAAACTCACCAGAGTAGTGGGAATTGAATCCACATTCATAATTTCACCAATTCGATTTATGTTTACTTTGACTATTAGAAAAATTGTTTGAATGTAATAAAAAACATTGCAGTAAAATTTATTTCTATTGATTTCATCTTTTCTGTATCAACAAAGATACAGGGAAAGCTTTTATCTTTTTCTTATCTTTTTTTTTTTTTTTTTCATCTGGGAAACATGTGAATGGATTGCCATATCTCAATATCAGTTCTCAAAAATATTAAGTAGCAAAAAATTGCTATAATTTGCATGCTTTAAGAATAATGTTGAGAACAGCAAAATGCCTGGATATGCTCTATCCAACTGTGTGTTGGTTAAAAACTTTCAGTTAACAATCTTTTGTAGTTTTGCACTTTGTTGACCTATGTTTTATCTTTGATGCAACAAGGAAACTTTAAATTGCATTCTGTCCTCTTTATTGATAGTTTAACTAAAAAGTATAGCTAAAGTATTTCATCATAGCATCTATAAATCATAAGCATATGTAACAAGTATTAAGTTAACCTTGTTAGATATTGGTTATTTCTTCATGGACTAATTTATTTTTAACATTTTAGAATTACTCACTCCAGAATTTGCGTCTTCCATTTAGAATTTTACTATTAGCTACTTTTGAAACAAATCTGTCAAAACTTTCTATATTGGCACTGATGCTTATGTGTTTATATTTGTCTCTCCTTTACCATTGTGGCAGGGTCTAGTCAAATTATAGCTCAATATTATCAGCTTATTCGGCTTGGCTTTGAGGTAATTTCTGCTAAAATTTTCTATCATAGTTGTGGATACGATATTATCAATTTAATTGTGACCTGGTTTCCCTCTTGATTCCCTTTAGTCTCATTTCTCTTTTAAGAACCATTTTCGTAGTTCTGTAGAATTAAAAAATTGCTTAGACTTGCCAAACATGGAAACTGATTTATTGTATTTTATAGCTCAGCAAATGTTTTCTTTTCTCTTTGTTGTTCCAAATAAATGTGAAATCCCTTTAGGATTTGGGCTACAGAAGTTGGGGTAGCTCTCTCCCATCCCATAAGTCTCATCTTCCCTTCCTCAAGATTTGAACCTATAACCTATAATCTCATCCTCTTAGGGACATAATTCTGCAAGTGTTGACTATTTGCTCAAAAAGGAATCTTTCAGGGCAGTTTGAACTTTTGGATTGTGCTCTTACATAATTGTATTTTGAATTTTATCCTTTAATGTTAACTCCTAAAAGAAACTAGAGCTAAGGGTTATAACATAGCGATTTGGAAATTCCAATTAGCTTCCTTAGATCGCAAAGTTTCCTTTATACCATCTTTCCTGCATGTTGATCTAAAGCCTCTAAACAGTAATTTGGCATGTGTATGAGGAAAGAAAAGGAACTAAAGAAGTAAACAAGAAGGGAAAGGGAGAGAATATGGGAGAAAAATAGAGGAACAATTATCAATAATTCACTTCATGTTGTCACCATAAGCTACTATGCTGTAAATAACGTTTGTATTGGTAGACTACTTCTAACTGTAGTATTTTGTAACAAGTAAAACTAATTAATGTAGAATAACTTAGATAACCTAAAATACTCTTAAATTAATACGTCTTCCTAAGGGAACATTCAAACAGTTAGAATCTCAGGTTTGATCTTGAGGGCGGAATGGTGGGGCCTTTTGCAATGGGTGAGAGCTAACTCCCTTTGTGTAGCTCAAGTCTAATGGGCTTTCATATTTACCTCCAAAAAGATATTATAAATATTTGAAATTACAATAGAGATCTAAAATACACAATCAATATAATTCTTTGGTAATCATCATCATTTTTTGCATCAATCTCTTCTTCTTGGAGAAAGATCAAACCTTGAGCTTCGAAGCATTGAAATGAATCCATAAAGAACTCTCTTACCAGTAGAATTCTTTTGCCGCATCAACACTATTGATGGCACTTATACATTTTAAAAGAATCAAGTCAAAAGCTAAAATTTACTAAATAGCTTATTAACCAAACTCCTTTACTTTGATAGCCTTGAATTTTCTCTGTGCATCCAGAGAAAATAAGGAACAGACCTTTTTACAAGGTAGCTCATCACTAGCATTGTCTGTTGCTTTCATGATCTCAACCTTCTCAAGTTGAACTTGCATATCCTTAACCTCTTCCACTTAGAAACTTTGGATTTTGGGTATTCAATTCTTTAGGTTGATTGTCATGGTCTACACAAACTTATAAGGTATTGTCTACTTTGGCAAATTAGACATCTCGATTTGTTCCACAAAAGGCACCTTACAAGTTGAAAATGGTGTGAACCTTGAGTCAAACTCTAGTGCACAGCTAATGTGGGATTCATGGCTCCTTTCTAGGATCAGCTTTAGTCCAACAATGACTCACCGTCATTGGTGGCATATCGCTAGTACCCACGGCTGGCTTTGATACCAAATGTTACTGTCTATATCAATCTTTAAGGTATTGTCCACCTCGTCTTATTAGGTCTCATGGTTTTATTCTAAAATAGGTGCCTCACAAGTTGAAGATGGTGTGAATACTTATATCCTAAGTCGAACTTGAGTACATAGCTGATATGGAATTCATGGCTTCTTTCTAGGACCATGACACTGATAACAGTGCACCTATTCATCAGTTTTTATGTAATGCTTCTCAACTTAAGATTCTTCAAAGCTTTTAATTTCTTTGATTTAGAAGCAACTGCTTTGAAGATGTCCACAACTGTTGGAAAGCTATTTTTAGTGTCTTGAACCTTGTGAGCTTCTTCCTCAACTATGATATAAACTCTCTCATCTTGACTCTTGTTTTCAAGCATATTTGAGCAACTATATTGAGAACTGACTATTACACATAAGTCTACAGTTTGTTTTTTCCATTTCGGTAATGAGAATTCCATTAGACCTTTATATTTATCACTTGAGATGTGAAACTAATAAATTGTTGAATGATGAAGATTGTGAGGACCATGTCTATTCTGTCCTCAATTTTTCAAGACAGATACGTAGTAAATTGTGGTCACTAAATATTGAAATCAAATATTTAAGAGCCGATGTCCGGATCCTTTTCAAAAGACTATGTACAGATGATTTGCACAATTGACTAAATTTTTGTTGAGATCTTAAGTGATGGTTATCTCTTTCTAAGTTTGTGTTACTTTTGTTGATAAAAGGGGTACCAGAATATCATTGAAAACTGCATAGAGAATGCAACAGTTCTGAAGGAAGGGATAGAGAAAACAGGACGATTTGACATTGTCTCCAAAGATGTGGGTGTTCCCCTTGTGGCTTTTGCTCTAAAGGACAGTAGTAAATACACTGTGTTTCAGATATCTGAGGGTTTGAGAAAGTTCGGGTGGATTGTTCCAGCTTATACAATGCCTGCAGATGCCCAACATATTGCTGTGCTCCGAGTGGTTATTAGGGAGGACTTCAGTCGCAGCCTGGCAGAGAGACTTGCGTCACATATTGAGGAGGTTGTGAAGGAACTAGACTCACTTGCAAGTGTTGTGGCCATTGGAGCTTCCCATGTTGATTCTGTTGTTGATGCAGTTCAAGAAGGGAATAAGGGTGGGACAGCTGCTAGAAAGACTGAGAGAGATATTCAAGCAGAGGTCATCACGTCCTGGAGGCGTTTCGTGGAAAATAAGAGAACAGGGGTCTGTTAAGACCCTACAATATCTGTTCTACTGTATTATTTGTAACCATATTGTGAATTAATGGATTGTTGTGGCAATGTTTACTTTTTCCGAAGTGCAGCATTACTTTTTATAAGGCAATTTCGTTGTATTATGCAATTATAACAGTGATATATGTTGTGTTTGTGGAATATTATATTCAAATAAAGTAATTATGGATGTTTTTATTTGTCTTGCCTGCTTGATTTTTAGGTGGACAGCATGATTTAGAAAGGAGATTCATAGCAGTCATTTTGGAGGCAAGAACTGGCATGTTGAATACTTTTTATATTTTTAAATTAACGCAAATGGTTGTGTTTGTAGAAAGTGTATTCTCATTGTATTCATTAATTTTCTTTAAATTACAAAATTTTAATCAGATAAACATTTATAGAAAATCACAAATCATCGTCAACATGTTATGGATGGATTGTTTTAGATTTCATTAATCTAGTAAGCAATTATAGAAAATGACAAATCATCCTCAATATCATCCTATGCTCTGTTTTGAATTTCAAGATGGGATGTTTCGATTTTTTTTTTTTTTAAGTTTTAAATTTTTGTATTTTAAGTTCCAATTATTCTAAGCTGAGTCTTACCAGTTTGGATAAGTTTAGGTTTAGGTCTAAGTTAGCGTGGATTGAGTTTAATCAAATTTAGCTAAAACTAATTTAAAAAACCTTGTAATATTCCAAACCAAGCTGTGATCCATGTGATGTCGGGTTGATGAACACAATGAAAAATATTCACTCAAACTCACACAAACAAATAAAGAATAGTCATCATCTTAAGGATAAATAGTTAATTCAGAAACTTGAGGGGTTAGGTTTGCGGAATCTTACATTACCTTTGCTAGTAAGAACTCGTACAAGATTATCAAGGCATACCTTCACAACATTAAGACAAGTAAGATCCACTTTTTTTTTCCTAATTTCTTTTTTTGTTTTATTTTTTTTCCCTTTTCTTCTTATTTCTTCCTTTTTCCTTCTTCAGCCCTTTACCTAGTTTCCTGTAATTGTTCCATAGCTATCTTCCGTCACCTATTGCCATTCACTTATGTTAGAATTCATCTAATAAACATAAAAAGAAACTTCTTTCAACCTCTTTTTTCTTCCTATTTGGTTAGATTATCCAAAAAAAAAAAAAAACACAAAAGCGTAGATCTACAAAAAAAATAAAAAAAAATCTTTGGATTCCATCATTTTTTTGGCACCAAATTATGTCTAAATGTATCTTGACCTAGTCCAACTTGGCTTTTAGATTTTTACTATCGCAATGTGTCCCATACATATTCCTATGTGTCGATAGTTTGTGTCTGATAGTGGTACGACACCAATATAGAGAGGTTGCTTTTGTGTCATTGCTTCCAAGTGTCTGGTCTAATATACATTATAATTTACATTAATGAACGAACTGAATTGACATAAGGAACTTTAGTCATTCATTTTTTTTTCTTTTTTTGTTTTAGGGCATTGGTCAATACAAATAGTTTAACCTTTTAACAATAGGATGTTTGCGAGTTTTGGCATTCTCTAATCAAAAGCATTCCAGGATTCTCTAAATATATGCCTATTCCACTTACTTACATCTCTCTTGAAAAGATTATTTAGATATTTACTTTCAAAATACAATCAGCCTGACCCATGTCTTTCATTTTAAAAGTTGAAAACAACCACTTTTAAGAGGCAACTATTAATTTCATCATCTTTAGACACACACAATAACCCTCTTCCATCATCTCAAATCCTTTGAAAGTAATAACTTGATGGAAATAAAAATACCATTATATAGAATATTGTTTTAGGCTATATATAGAGCGTATCAAATGACACACTTGGCATTCTTGTCCTTTAACTTCAAAGCCCTCTAGTTGATCCATGTAGATCTCTTAATCTAGTTTTCCATTGAAACATGCAGTCTTCACTTTCATTTGGAATAATTCCAAATCTAAATTTTAAGCAATTGCGAGGATAATATGATACAAACAAACTTTACCTCTTTACAACTAGATGAAAGATCAATTAAGTCACATGCTTTATTATTAGCCATTGAACATATCTTTTCCTTCATTGCATTCATCTATTTTTTAGAAATTGGTGAAGTTATAGCTTCTTTAAAGGAAATAGGTTCATCACAATCCACATATGCAAATATGAAAGTTTCCCCTTTAATCTCAAAATGATATTTAAAAGGATTGCTCCATACTTGCTCTTTTATGGATGTTGAGATCCTTCTTGACAAGAACTCTCCCACTAACTTTAATATTACTCCCACTTACTAAAAAGTAAATCAAATTATTACATGTATTCATTTGATGAATTTCTAAATTTTCACCCTTATCTTGATGTAATAGAGTAATTCCCTCAACCATTAGTTATTCATGTTCTTGCAACTCGTATAGTTCAAGATCTTTTTTAACTTTAACAAGACTAGGGAAATTTTCTTTTAAGAAATTCACATCTTGAGACTCTATTTCAATCATTCCCCAATTAAGATATTTATCATAAACACATAACCCTAAAGCAATCAGGGTATCTTATAAAGATATGCTTAGTTGCTTTAAGACCCAATTTCTCATGTTTTTGATAATAATTATGAACTTACCCAACCAAACCCTAAGGTTTCAAACCTTTTGAATTAAACTTTTCACCTTTTCATAATTCATAGGTTGTTGAAGGAACAAGCTTTGAAAGCACTCGATTTTAAATATAAATTGCAATTCAAATAATATCTCCGTAAAAACTAATTAGGAGATTAACTTGTCTCATCATAGATCTTACCATATCTAAAAGTGTATGATTTTTCTTTTCGCCATACCATTTTGTTGCAGATTACCAAAAATAGTTAATTACCTACTTATTCCTTTTTTATCCTATAATGCTTTCAACTAATTTGATAAATATTCTTGACTTCTATCAATTTGGAGAATCTTAGCTATCATCTCATGTTGATTCTCAACATCTACCAGAAAGAGTTTAAAATAATTTAAAACTTATAATCTATGATACAACAAATATAGTTATCCATACTATGAATAATCATCAATCAAAGTAAAGAAATAAAAAATATAACTATTATTATATTTTTAATCCAATTTAAAGAAATTATTGTTCAAACGACCATAACCATAAAACTTATTTCCTAAATAAATATCCAACTGATTTCTCTTAAAACAAAAAGAAAATCTTAATTTTAGCAAAACTAAAATTGAAAGTAAATTATATTGAATTGATGATGCACATAACACATCATGTAAAAGTAAGGTGTGCTCGTTACACAACTTAAGTTGGTAGGTTCTAACACCAAAAACCTTCACTTCGTCTCCATTACCTATGTTAACATAATGGTTGCATGTCAAAACTTGATTGTTATGTGCAAATCTTATTCTGTCTCGACTTATATGTTTTACTGCTCGAGTCTACAATCCAACCAAGGAAAGAATAAACAATAAGAACATGTGAACAAATATAAAAACTAGTAGAGCTAGGCTTGGGTTGAACCTTCTTTTGCTTCGTGTAATCATAGACAAAGTGATCCAAATTTACATAATCGTTGCATTTAACTTTATTGATGTTTTCTTTTCCAAGCTTGGCCATATTGCCATCTTTTGAAGCTAAATTTTGAGCATTTTTTTGCTTAGCTCTATTTTGCTGATTGTACTTTGGCTGTCTTCCTTTGCATTAACTAGCACAAGCTACGTTAGTAGTAACACGGATCATGTCTTTGTATTTTCACTCAAGCTCAAGATAATAAGAGATGTTATCAAAAGTCTTTGTATTATCATTATGTTTTAGTATCAATTTCACTTGGCTCGAAGAAGTTTCTAAAAGGGACCTTACAATTGATTGAATAGGTTGTTCATCACTAAGTTAAGTTATGGCTGTTCTTAACTTTCATATCATTACAAAAATCTCAGTTAAGTGCTATATCATAGATGAAGAATTCATAACATGTTAGTGAAAGTTAAGTTTCAAGGCATAAAGCCTAGTTGTAATTGTTAAACTAAATTTCAATTTTAGTTGATCCCACATTTGTCATTTATTTTAGCATAGTAAAGCATGCACTACGACCGTTTTTTGTCCAACTTTGATATAGCTTTAAGTCTTTCCTATGTTGGGTTATATTCTCTTACTCAAGTGGATTCATACTATTGGTTGTAATTTCAAGAATTTCATTTTTATTTTAAAAGATACTGAATTTTCCTATGTCATATATCATAACTAATCCCATTAAACTTTTATTTTTTCATAAAATCCATTATTGTAGCTTTGGTTTTCATTGTCTAAATCATTACGCAAAACTCTAATTAGTTACTTTATCTTAGTATTTTATTCTAAAAAATTAATTAAACCATAAAATATCTTCTTATATTTAAGATAAAAAATTTTACTTGTTAGAGCCATAATTATTTTAAGTTTATAAGTTGAAATAAAATGTCTAATTATTTAGAATAAACTATAGGGCTTATTCCCTTTTATCCACATTATGTAATTTTTTTTTTTATCTCATACATAAAATAAAATAATTATGGCATGTGATATAATGACATGGATAAAAAATATATCTATATTTTAAATTTTAATATCATAATTATTAATTATTGGACTTAAACAAATTTATTTATTTATTAAAACTAATTAATTTCTAACTAATTAATTATAGATATACAGCCGTAGAGTAGTTGGCATTCACAAGAAGCAAAAACTATCTCTCACTCACCAAAATTACTCATACACGTTCTAAAATGTGTTAGTGAATTTTAAACTCCAAAATTATATGATTTTTCATAAGAAAATATAAAAACATATGTTTACAATTTTTAAAAATTCCAGAAAATATATGAAAAATCATAAATCAATTTTGAAAAATGTTCTTAAAACGTGACGGAAATGATGCCACACGTATCCTCATACAGTACTTGCACAACTAGAAAGAAAACAACTTTTTTATGATAAATTTTTTATTATTTAATTTATTAATCCCCGAAAATTTAAATTCTTAATTCTTATTAACCACACATTAAAAATTTAATAATATATGCATGGAAAGCTTACGGGACAAGAATTCTAAGCATATAAATTTCATGCCTTAAATTTGAAACATGTAAGAGGAACTTAGAGTAAAAATTTTGATTTTTCTGGTTTGTCTATGACTTTTCACCCAAACCATAAGTCCTTTCAATACCAAAATTTAATCACTAATTCATAGTATTTTAGGGTACATATTTTTTAAAAATTTCAGTCTAAAAGCATTTGTTCAAATTTTCACCTTTAAAGATCATTCTTAGTTATTAAAAATATTATGGGTAAATTTCATATACATCATTGTGGTATTTGACTTTCTTACTTACATCTCTTGAGAAAAAATTTCATTTATAACTCTGAAGTTGATTAGCATTATCAAAAGAGAGTAATAATGTCAAAATTGATGTAGATTTTTAATAAATTCCAAAAATACTCTTAAGCTTTTATTTTGTAACAATTAAAGGCGGCAATTGTTCTAGTCTTGTTTTCCTATGTCATTTCGAGTTTATTAAATTTGGACTCATTTCGAATTTAATTTACTTTAAGTTTAAATCATTTTGATTTTAATTTTTAGGATATAATATTTTCATTAGAGTTTGTTTTTATATATGGAAAGTATAATTTTTTAATTAAATAAATGAAATTAAGAGATTATTAAGTATATTTGTTTTTTAATTAATTATTTTTAAATTTTAAAATATATTTTTAAAAATAATTACTCACTCAACTAGCCCTATTTAAATTTAACAACTTCATAAAATGGACTAAATAATTTCTATTTGATTATTTAAATTTGTATATAGATTATTATATTCTAAAATCAAATAATTTAAATTAAATTGATCTTTTAAGCCATTTAAATTTGAATTATTTTAAAGGGTTGAACCGATTATAATGATTGATTTTTTAATTAAATATTAAATGGGTTGAGAAGGTTACTAAAAGTCTAAAACCATTGAAAATACTGCTATACTTGAAGGCATTAGGCGCTGGACCCATTTAGCTTCTTTTAGTACCCTGTTTTTCCCTTTATCCTTTAGTTTATCCGAGGAATTCTATTTGTACATTTATTTTTATTTTATATATTTTACTATTAAATACATATTTAATTTAATTTTTTTATTTTTACTAAATACATCCTGTGCCCTATTTTTTTTTTTTATTTTGCCTTCTTATTGTTTCACTCTTTCATTCTCTTTTTTTTCTCTATTAATTTTTAATCTAAAAAAATTTAAATTCATCAAACTTACCTTAAATAATTAGTGTTTTTAAGTTTTACAATGATTAAAAATAAGATTTTTAACTTATTTTTGATTGATTTGATTAATTGATTAAATGCATGTAAATATAAGTTAGAATTTATGATAAAATTTAGTTCAAATTGAGTTTCTTGAAAATAAAATTTTGAAAAATTTAAAGGTTTTGCAAAAATAAATTTCTAAGAAGTTTTAAAATTTTTTTAAAATCTAAAAATTTAAAGACTTTTAAAAATTTTTTTTCGAAAAGCTCTCCAAAAAGAAAATTTATTTTCGAGAAATCCTAAAATTTATCAAAAATCTATTTTTGATGAGGTTTAAATTTTTTACGAAAAACCAAAAATTTAAAGATTTTTTAAAAATTTATTTTCAAGAAATTTTAAAATCTTTCAAAAATCTAAAAGTTTAAAGATTTTTTTGAAAATTTATTTTTAATAAACCTTTGAGTTTCTTGAAAATCTCTTTTTGAGAAACCCTAAAGTTTTTTGAAAATTTATTTTCAAAAAATCTTAAAATTTCTTAAAATTTTATTTTCAAAAAATTTGATTTTAAAATTTTAATTTTAATTTTAAAGATTTAGAATTTAGCATATGAAAAAAATGATGAAAGAGGAAAAAAAAAGGAAAAAAAAAAAGAATGAGGTATGAAATATATGAGAGTGAGAGGGTATTTTCGTCATTTAATAAAAATTAAATTTGATATATGGGGTGTGGTTACTTTACTTTTAAAAGAAAACTTGGGGGATATATGTAGATGTTTTTAGGGTGCATTTAAAAGCCCCCTACTAGAAGCCTGTGCATTTCCTGATTTTGTTTTGCTTTGTGAGGACTCTGCTTGATTAGAGGCGTCTCCGCTGCACCTTCATAGCCGTTCCATCTGGTAAATCCCTTATTCCCCTTATGTTTTTTTATGCCATTTGAACCCACAAAATGAGAAGAATTCCTTTTGCATATCTCTTTGCTCTTAAAGCCCCAAACTCCTTTCTCTGCAAACATAGAGCCATTCCTGGGAATTTCTTTACTGTTGCCCCAATTACCATTCATCCACGCTTTACGTTTCCCTCATTTTGCTCCAATGCAACAGCATTTGATTCCGGTTTTACTGATGTGGCTAAGTTATATGCGACTATCATGGATAACTCTAATGTATATGACAACATGGAGACATCGCTTGACCAACTGGGTCTCCAATTAACTACCCCTTTGGTTATGGATGTTCTCCAAAGGCTTTCTCTTGAGGAGAAAATTGCATTCAGGTTTTTTACATGGGCTGCTAATCAACAAAACTATGCCCATCAGCCTCAAGCTTATAATCAGATGATTGACATTTTGTCGAGTACAAAGTACAAAATTAAACAATTCCGAATCGTCTGTGATATGCTTGATTATATGAAGAGGAGTAACAAGAAAGCCGTCCCTGTCGAAGATTTGCTACTCATTTTGAGACAATATACTGAAAAGCATTTGACACATCTTCAGAAATTTTCTAAGAAGAAGAGGATAAGGGTGAAGACGCAGCCAGAGATCAATGCCTTTAACTTGCTGTTGGATGCTTTGTGTAAGTGTAGTCTGGTTGAGGATGCTGATGTTCTCTTTAACAGGATGAAGAGGAGGGTTACATCGGATGCCAATTCATACAATATATTGTTTTTTGGTTGGTGTAGAGTTAGGAATCCGAAAAGAGGTATGAGGGTTCTGGAAGAAATGATCCAGTTGGGTCATACTCCTGATAATTTTACTTACAATACTGCTATCGATGCCTTTTGCAAAGCAGGATTGGTGACTGAGGCAGCTGAACTTTTTGAGTTCATGAGAACGAAAGGGTCAACCTTGTCTTCTCCCACTGCAAAAACTTATGCGATCATGGCTGCAGCTTTAATGCATAGCAACAGAATCAAGGAATGCTTTGAGCTTATAGGGAACATGATAAATAGCGGTTGCCTGCCTGATGTTTTGACATACAAAGAATTGATTGAAGGGATGTGCTCAGTGGGGAAGATTGAAGAAGCGTACAAGTTCTTGGAAGAGATGGGAAACAAAGGTTACCCTCCGGATATAGTTACTTACAACTGTTTCCTCAAGGTCCTTTGTGACAATAAGAAGAGTGATGAAGCCTTGAGGCTATATCAAAGAATGATTGATGTCGGTTGTATGCCCAGTGTGCAAACCTATAATATGTTGATTTCAATGTTCTTTCATATGGGTGATCTTGATGGGGTGTTTGAGACTTGGCAAGAGATGGATAAGAGGGGCTGTGCACAAGACATTGAGACTTATTGCATCATGATTGATGGGCTTTTCAGCCACAATAAAGTGGAAGATGCTTGTTTTCTTTTGGAAGATGTTGTAAACAAGGGATTGAAATTGCCATACCCGAAGTTTGACTCCTTTTTGATGCAGCTTTCTGCAATTGGTAATCTCCAAGCCATCCATAAACTTTCTGAACATATGAGGAAGTTTTACAATCCTGCTATGGCAAGACGTTTTGCGCTGAATCAGAAGAGGCAGAGTATGAGATTAAGAGGGAAGTAAGAATGTACAAAAGCATTTTTGGAAGATTTTCTTTCATCGTACAAAGGTGCCAAGTAGGATCTGTACTTGAGCTCTGGTTTACTCTTTGGAAAGTTTTGATTGAGAAACAGCTGGGAGTTCACAAGACCAAATAGTACAAGGACGACTTGGCTACAAATGCAGCATGGATATGACAAAGAGTTTGAAGCAAGCTATAAACTTGGGCCACAATGTGATTCCACATACTTGTTCTCATGAATCATGATCTCTGACAAAGCTATATAATCCACAAATACTGTTGTCATCAGTTATACAACTGGTAATGCCCCCAAAAATTTCTACTGTGAGTTGGATTGGCTGCATGGAGTGAACTTCTGTATTTAATCCTCTTTCTTTTTTTCTTTTTTTTTTTTTTTTCCCAAGCAGTTAAGGCACAACACTTCAGAGAAGAAGTTCAACTTGAAAATTATGTAATGGCCTAAATTTATTTCCTGTAAAAGTTTCATGATTGAGTCAACATCTTGATATCTTCTGGAGCCACTGCTTATGCTGTCAGAGCAGGAGACTGCTTTTTATAGTGTAAGTCAAAATGCATACCTTTTTTCTCTTTCATGTGTCTGATGCAACCCTTTGTGTGTTTAGATATAGTTAATCTCAGTGCACTATCACCTAACAAGCGTGTTGTATTGTTTTTGCATTATTGTAATAAATTTTTGTTGACTTATGCATGCAGAAGCGCAGCAGCAGTTTCAACTTTTAGGCTGAAAGTCCTTAATCCTGCATTTTGTTTTTCTTTGTTCCTCTAGTGATGACTAACGACTTGAACTAATCCAATTAGTGCCATTATTGGGCCATAGAAGTTGTGTTGAAATTGAAACTAGCATCCTCTTGACTGGTACTGATTCAGAATGGCAAGAAGCTAATTGAGGGATTAAAGTACTTGGGATTTTAGTTTGTTACTTTTGTTTATTTTAGAATCTTCTTTTCTGCATCTCATTCTACTTCACATGGTGGCTGCTTTGGTTCTTCCTCTCTCTCTTTCTTGATCATATTTGAGTGTAATTTTATGTTCAATTTGTGTAGGATTTATTGAATCTAAAGATTTTTGGTTTGATCGAAATGCAAATCCTAAAGTAGGACCTCTGTTACATGGGCTCAACAGTTTAAGGCACCATGCCCATGTTGGCACAACATGATACAGATATGGGTGCAGAATATGAGTCCAATGCTGTCTTGAACATATGGTCATATGAGTCAATTGAAAACCAAAAGAAGAAAGTGGAGACCTAAGATGACATTGGATTGCTAGCTTAAGAGAGATTGTTGTCTTACTTGAGGAGTTGCATTCAGATCAAACCAAAAGTTCCTACACCCAAATTGGACCTAAAATTACACTTAGTTACGATCAAGAAAGAGAGATTGAGGGGAAGACTCAAAGCAAGCATTGTATGAAAGTAGAGATAGAGCGAGGAAAGAGGATAAAGAAGAGCAAAAAGATAAAAAATAATATTAAAAGAAGCGATTAAAATGTTTCAGTGGTCAAAAAAGAAAGGAATAGGTAAAAAATTAAATAAGAGGAAGAAAATTGGGGAAATTTGAAAAAGGTGCTTTCTAATACAGATTTTTATTAATTGGTCTAATAGGAAGAAATAATTAATATAAAGGAAATGACAAGCTGAGAAATTGATGAAAAGAAAATTGATTTTACTTTTTTACCCTTATCACTAATGCATTTCTATCTTTCTTTCACCATAAAGCCAAAGGCCATGCCCACACCTCTTTTATCTCTTTGCTATAGTAAATATCGGAGAAGCTCTTCACTCTCGATCCAATCACTGGAACTGCCATTAATGAAACTGTCAATGGGCCCTGCATCAGTAAGGTAAGGTTTTGATTCCTTTATTCCTCAAGATTTTCTTATACCTTTTTGCTAAGTTGTCCAAGAAATCAGAAGCAAATTCTCAGTGAAATTAGCGTAGAATTCCTTCAATCCTTCAGAATTCTCTCCATTTGACCATTGCATTTAAAATTTTATTTCATTTGGGCCAAAGAATCTAAGCTTCCTCTCCATGGATGCATCTGAAATTTTGTTCAATTTTGTTTTTATTTCTATTGATTTTACTTTGTTGTTGTTTGGTAATAATTTTAGTTTTTGTTTCCTGGAAAAGTGCTCTTCTTTCTTCATTGGTTCAAAAAGCACTAGTGAATTAAGTAATATGGATAAGTTTTGGATGTTGAGTTATGGAGTTTGCTCACTTCTTTATGACAAGTATGTAGGAATATATGCTTCATGGCATTATAATGAGAAACATCATGTTGCATTTGACAAAAATTGAATTATAAATTAAGATGATTTCAGCATGAATTTTAAGGCATTTCACCATTGTAATGACTTTGGCCATGAATTTGAATTTTTTTTGAATTGGTCATTTTTATTTCATTTATTTGCTTCTTCATCTTGTAATGAGTTCATGGCAATGTTTATGGTGTACTATTCTGTTTGTACTGAAATGTCTTAATTATTATCTTCAGTTATTAAAAAAAAATGCCAAAGCAAATCAACTAACACCAATGGGAGGCTGGGAACGGGAATTAAAGGTTTAAGAGGTAGGGGGAATAAAAGGGAAATAGTTATTGTAAATTAAGGTTTATTTGAGTTGAGTGCATGCTGCTGAAGCTTAAGTGCTAGGTTTGTCACAAGGCTAAAGCCTAAACATAATGGGGCTCGTAAACAGTGCATTTATAAATGGACATTATATAGTGGTGTGTCCTGAATGGTCCTTCAACATCCATGCTCATATTTGTTACTTGATTCAAGTGTCTCAATGAGCTTTGTTTCTTGATTCAAGTGTCTCAATGAGCTTTGTTTCTTGATTCAAGTGTCTCAACAAACAATCATCAATTCTTCCATTGCAAAATTTTTGTTGTTGGCACTTTTTACATGGAAGTATGACCACATATTCTCATGTTTGTTGAATCTACTACCTATTAAATGAGTTAGACCTAGCACCTGAAAAAGGGCTACACTTTTCCCATGAATAAAACTGATTTTGTACAAGTAGGAATGGATGTAGACAAATATTTGCCCCAGTTAAAACTTGAACAAACCAGATTTAACTGGCATCATTTATACTTGTTTTCACTTGGCCCCTTTGTGGAATGTGTCCTTTCAGATTTGTATAAAATAAGCACAAGTACTTATACTAGCTTCTTACCTTGGGATTAAATTCTGAAAATATCAGAGTTAACATCTTAGTGTTAGTAAGTTATGTAGAGTTGAAAAATTATGATCATATTTATCAAGTTTGAACCAACATTGCAAATGGACATGATTTATGGTACCATTTATGGATAGTTTTATGTACATAAGATCTATAATATTAATGTTGTTTTGCAAGTTATGTTTATATGCAACCACTGCTCATTTGTTAAGCACCTTAAGAACATATATTTTGCTCAATATATATATATATATATATATATATTTATGAGAGATGTACGTATGTTGCAGTTTTATGTACATCACTACAAGTTTCTTTGTGCATCAACCCTCAAAAGTACTTTGATAGAATACCTTTAATGTTTTAATGTTGCATTAAGGGTATTGAGTTATGGTTTAGGCTAAGAGTTTTTAGTTTAATGTTTTATGATAAAAATCTTAGGCATAAATGAGTGTGTTTTACTATTGAAATTTCTCCACTTATTGTTCGGATATTTTATAATTGTGTTTAATTTGTTTTTTCCCTTGATTTTAGGATGAAGTTGGAGGGAGTGATTAAGGAAAGCTTAATAGAACGAATAGGGGGATAACATCGATAAGTTTAGCATTTTTTATCACAAAAGTATTTTAGGTTATTACAGTGTATTTAGTACACAAGATTGTGGATAGAAGTGGATGATATAAGATTATAGATAAAATTAGATTAAATGATGTCATCTTATATCATATTTGGTATGTGTAATGATTAATTTTTATCTTTTATCATGTTTGTTATATGTGAGATTAAAAGTTAAATAAAATGATTTTTTAGTCAAAATTAAGATTTTTTTATTCAAAATTACCCTTTTTTAAAGTAATAATAATTTAAATTATAATTTTTATATAAATGTAATTCCAAAAATTTTTAACTAAAAAATAAATATTTTATGATATTTTTTATAGATAAGACTTAATTTTTTTAAAATTTATATTTTAATAAAGTAAATAATAATTTTAAAAAATAAAATATTTTTGAAAAAGCTATTTTTAAATTTAATTTTTATGAAAATCTTTTAACTAGTTTCCTTTCATTTTTATTTTGTTTCTTTATATAATTTTAATTTAAAATAATTTATATAATTGAGATCTAAAATTTAGTTTTTAAAATGATTTTTCCAAAAAAATAGTTGAGTTAAAATATTGTAAATATAATTATTTACTCTCTTTTTTTTTTTTTCTTCCATTTTCTTTTATTGTACCTCTCGGCTAAAGGGAAAAGAAAAAATAGGAAAAAAAAAGAAAAAGAAAAAAGAAGAGAAGAATGAAACAAAAACGGAAAAATGAAGAAAGGAGATAAGAAGAAAAAAATACTATTCAAATTTAATAATTAAAAATTTATTAACTAAATGTTATTTAATTTAGAAAAGTTTTATGTTTAAGAGTTAAATTTTTTTAAAAAAAGTAAATTAATTTTTCAAAAAATTATAAAATAGTTTTTATCAAAACTATAATTTTTTATTTATTCAAAAACTGAAAAAAGTGGAAAAAAATAAAAAAAAATAAAAAAGAAAGGAGGAAAAAATGAAAAATTAAAAGAGAAAATAAGGGAAAATGAAAAATAATTTGGGTTAAAGAATTAAATAATGACACTTATCAATTTATTAAATATTTAAGTCAAATTTTAAATATAAACTTTAGAAGTAAAATAAGTTATTTATAAGAATTTATGATTTAATATTATAGATTAGAAATAATCATTTTTTTTTTTTTGAGAAGGACTGATTTATCTATACTAATAAGATGACTAATTCTCCTTATAATTTCATCCGCCGCCTAATGTATGCACTAAATATAAAATATGATGATAATCATTTTATTCTATTATTAATCTTATACACCAAATATACTCTTATTATACATAATAGCTAATAGATGTATACATTTTATTGGAACTATGTGTACATTCCTCTTTTATTATATGTACATATTTCTTTTATTATATATACATTTGCTAAATCTCAAAAGAGGTATGAATATTTATAGTAAGATTTGAATTTAATTTAATTTGAGTTCTAAATAGAATTTTCATCAATATATAAAAAATAATATAACAAATATAGCATTTTCACTTGCAAAAAGTTTCCTACCTAGGTTATTAATGAAAAAAGTACTGAGTAAATGTGTGCATCATATTGAAACTATATTAATCCCATAAAAACTTGTATACAGTAGATTAATATTGTGCACATAATACTTGGGATATATATACAGATAAATATACCTATATGCACATTTTATAAAAAATAGAAAATCTATAATTTTCAAGTAAAAAGTGAGAAAGAGTGATAAGTTGTTCTCCTAGATTGACCTTCATATTCAAGTTGTCCTCTTTGCTATGATGTTAGTCTGGCCAAGACTAAGACATTGTTTGGTAAGAAAAATAAAAACAGATGAGGATGGAAAAACTTATGAATTTAATAGTTAAAAATCATAATTACTGTCTTATTTTGTAGCTTGACCTAATATAAACAAAAATTTCATTCTCATCATTTTCTATCGTTTCTACATGGTAAAGCCTAAATTTTCAAAAAATTTTGCCCTGTTAGTGACATTGATTAGTCCATATATCTTGCATTGTAGGATTCTTCAAAGCTTTCGGTGTCTATTCCATGCTGTTTTAGTTTTGACGTTGGAAGCAAGTGGTGCTTGGTAACTTCAAAAATCATGCTTCATTCTTTTCCTTTATTTATTTATTTATTTATTTTTGCTTTACAAAAAGGAAACAATGCTTGGCATAATCACTATCAATGAACTGTGATATAACATTTATCCCAGAATTCAAGAATAATTTCTCCTATGTTTCTTCTAAACTCAAAATCTTGTCATTGCAGATATGTCAAGTGCTAGCTGTGCTCATATTGTGAGCAGAGACTCTATTATCATTTGAACAGCAACTCAAAAATTTATGCAGGCAGCAATATGTCAAAGCTCTCAATATATAGATTCACCACTATGCGCTCAGTCTGTTCAATTAGCCTTTCAAGAGGAAGCAATTTCTTTATCAGGAGTTTATTACTTTTGGATATTGGTGCTACGGAGCCACGACTCTTTTTCACCTTTTTTTTTTTTGTTTCTCTGTTCCTATAATAATTGTGTAAGGAGACGGTCAATATCACTGGCAGTTTCTACAGTAAACCATTTTCCATGTGCTGATATATGGTGGGGCATCATGCCTCTCGTAGTAACTATCATTTGGCCACCGCATCTCCCAGGCTGTTATAGCCATCAACTATACTAAAATTGATATCTTCACAGTAGCAAACTTTGAATAGCTCCTCTCATCAAAATCTTAAAATAGGGGAAGGGACTCGGGAGGATGCCCGAGTCCTAAAACTTCCTTGCCGTTCCTATCAGTTGTGTTGGTTTCTGTACGTGTATTTAACACTGTTTCTTGAAATGCTGACTCGAAGAAACAAGTAGTAATAAAGTAACGATTGACGGTAACTTTGCTATTTACAGCTCCCAGGTGAACTAATCTCCTTGCCAGCAGCTGTGGCAGATTTTCTACTCCCACCATCTTCTAATAGAGACGGCAATAGTTGTGACAGTTGTGGCTGATCTCTCTCTCATCTACCTACATAATTTTAATTCATTTTTTTATGTTGTTGTTATCATTTTTTCAACTCGCCATGATGGCAGGTAAAACCTCTTTTTTCCAGATTTGCGCTTCCACTATTGCTAGCTAGCATGATGCCATATGCAACGTAGATCCGTACCCTATTTTTTAAACAATGGAAGAACTTATTGTAATGAATTTTCTCTATTAATGAAATTTCCATTACTCTCTAAGAGAAAAAATTTAAACAATTAAAATGAGATTTAAATGGGATTTCATTAGGTTTAATAAGTGGAGGTAGAGGGTTCAGGATTCTCTCTAAGTGTATAAATCGTAATCGAAACTTCAGAATTAATATGGATCCAAATGAAAATTTTCTCATGCTACAAACACCAAAATGGCTGAACATAGACTTCGTCCAGTGGTTGTTATCCTCTTGACTTGAGAAGGATTGGGTTCAAGGTTAGAATTCCAAGAGGATTGGGTTCAAGGAGCAATAAAGGTTTGGAGATGAAATAATAGGAAAGAAAAAAGAATAACTAAAAAAAAAAAAAGAACATAAGAAAGAAAAGAACCCAGAATTCCTATGCAAAAGAAAAGAAAAGGAAAATAATTTAAATAGATAATAGAAAACCATTTTGGTATTTATTAGTTGATATTTGTCTCACATGTTCATTTTCCATGGAAGGGCAATGTTGTATCCTTCTTAACTAATATTTCCTTAATGTTAACAGAGTTAACAGTTCGATGTTAACGGGCTAACAATTTCAAGGTTGTTCTTAATTATGAGCTTAAAGCACATTTGCACATGATTTTCATGATACTGTCAAATTTTGTATTTCTTGAATTTTTATTTAGTGATGAATTTAAAATTTGCTTAAAATTAAAAGAAGAGAAAAGTGAAAAGATGAAAATTATATATATATATATATATATAATTAAAATGCAGCTATGATTCCAAGCCTTCCAATAAATTATATATAAAATTTGAAAAATTAGGATATTTGTTTCTTTTAAGGGTATTTAATATATTTTATATAATTTTCTTTTTCTCACAATTTAAAGTTTCGCATGGAATAAAATATTGCACTTGAATAACATGTGGATGATGATGTCCCAATGGCATGTAAATTCCTTTAATTTTAACAAATTAAATCAATGAAAGACTAAAATGATACCATTTTAGTAACGTCAAGAACTCATTTGAGACAATTCATCAAAGGTTAGGAATGGAAAGGACACTTGGTTAAAAGGATTGCGTAAAAAAAAGACAGGTGTGATCATACATCCTAGTAGCACGCAATAAGAACTGGTAAACATCTAGCTGAGCTCTACTGGTTTTCCTACAACGTCGCCAAAGAAAAAGGTTCATTTACTCGTTCAGTGAAAAAAGGATCCATTTGCCATTTCCTCCTATCTCTCTTCCTTTCCATCAATACTCCTAACATGATACGTATAAATACTATCATATATTCCTTTTCTCCTACACGTTCAACTCTACTACTGCAAAAACAATGTTGACAGCTACAATCCCTGACACAGAAGCGCATGTGCACTCAACTTTTGCTTCTAGATATGTACGTACTCCTGTTCCCAGGTAATCCACGAATTTGCTTTAACACTTGATTCTATCTAGTATCATCATGTATATATATATATTTATATGTCATAAGAGGCAGACATAATTTCGAACTTTTCAAACAAATTACAAATTAATGGATGCAGATTCAAGATGCCAGACAAGTCAATGCCAAAGGATGCGGCATATCAAGTAATACATGATGAGCTGATGCTAGATGGAAATCCCAGGTTGAACTTGGCATCATTTGTTACAACTTGGATGGAACCTGAGTGTGATAAGCTCATGATGGCTTCCATCAATAAGAACTATGTTGACATGGATGAATACCCTGTCACCACTGAACTCCAGGTACTTGTCTTCACTTTGCTTAGAAAAAAACAAGTTTTCTGTTCTTCTCACCATGATTTCTAAATAAATTGACATTGTTCTGTTCACGTCTTTATCTTTTTGCTGATAGATATAATTTATCGTTTTGCTCCTGCATGTTTTCTCCGAAATTATCTTTTTCCATTTTCCCATGAACAATTATTGAAGCTAAATGTATTCCCTGATGGGTTTAACAGGCATCTATTAATTTTCCTAATTTTTAAACTCTTCAAATGTTTTCCATAATAATTTAGGTCATAATCATTCGTAATCACAATGTAGATCATAATCATATACAACACGTACAATATATTTGCCAACCTGTTGAATTAGGCATATTGAAATATGATATTTTGACTCGTAAAAATGTAACATTAAAGTGTCATTGTTACTAAAAATGGAATGTTATGGCGCCTAGGAACAAAGAAACTGTTTGTTTCAAATTGTTTGGCAAAATGAAAGCATTCTAGGTGAGTTCTTCATCGAATTAAAAATCAATTGATTGCATATTATATATGAATTATAATATGTATTATCTGAAGTATCCCTTTCATAATCAGTATCTTCTGCATTCTAGGTGAGTTCATCGAATTAAAAATCAATTGATTGCATGTTAAATATGAATTACAATATGTATTATCCGTAGTATCCCCTTCATAATCAGTATCTTCTGCATTCATTAATTATTTAAATTAATTAGTTATCATATTTATTAAAACAGAATCGGTGTGTAAACATGATTTCTCATCTATTCCATGCTCCGGTTGGGGATGAAGAGACAGCAGTCGGTGTGGGGACTGTTGGTTCCTCTGAGGCTATAATGCTAGCTGGATTAGCTTTTAAAAGGAAGTGGCAACATAAGAGGAAATTGGAGGGAAAACCCTATGATAATCCCAACATAGTCACCGGCGCTAATGTGCAGGTGAGATTAATTTTGCTTTTTAATTGTAAATTGTCATCTTTGCTCTATCTTATTTTTTTCTTTATTGTTTTGAATAATGTCTCTCTAATGTTTTTAAATACATTGCAATTCCTGATCATCATGCACCTATTGTTACTCATTTCTTACAAACTGAAGGATATGTATTAGAAATAAGAATTTGGAAAAAACTTAATGAAGGATATGTCTAAAAAAAACTTTGGTTTATGGATTGACTGTGTTTGTGTTACCGTGCTTTCTGCCTTCATAACATGTTAAAACTAGCCACTCCAAGCGAAATGGCAGCAAAAGAATTTATCTGCTTGATTGGTGTTTTTATTTTTTGCTTTTTGTTTTTTTAATAGAAAGTAAAAAAGAAAAAAATATAAAAAATGAACTGAAAACAAGGGATAAATAACCAAAAAAAAAAAAAAAAAACAAAAAAGAAAAAGAAAAAGAAAAAGCACCAAGCAATTGGAGCCTAAATATTTTACAGCCCAGGCAAACACAGTTGTCCATTCTCCAGTAATTCGATGAATATTAGAAGTATGCAAAATCTTACTCATTTTCTCAGAAGTAAAAATGATATGGTTAGAGATCCTTCTTTATCACCAGAAAGATAAAAGACAATAATCTGCGCAGCAGCACCCCCTGCCTCTATCCCTTTTCCAGTGCTTAATTAGTCTATCAAGCATGGCTTGGCAGCCAACAAATGAGTGATTAGAAATGTTGTGCTAGAACCAAGTTAACTTGTGCCAATAAACTTTATGCTTTTTATCCCTCATTTCCAAGCATTTGTAAATATCTTTAACATTGTTGTTTAAGCTTCCGGCCTCGATTGGTCTACCCTATAGTAATGATAATTGATTGGTTGACATCTCAGCAGAATAAAGAAGGACCCAGATTTTTTTTTGTTGTTGTTTTTTAACAAAGGAGGCATAGTTTGGGATAGATGAAAAGAATACAGATGTTAGAAATTTGAATCTTAAACTTGTTAGATGTTATCTCTTAAAAGGATTGTATAAACCAACTAAGCTAAAATTCGAGTTTGATTTGCCTTTCTTTTTAAATATAGCTGCATTATCATTTACCATTTTGAGACTATATTCTTCAGTTTTTAATCTAGGCATTTCAAAAATAAAATGTGTTAGTTGGAGAAATAATATTAAATGTTCATTAACGAATTGTATGCACAGGTTTGCTGGGAGAAGTTTGCAAGGTACTTTGAGGTTCAGCTGAAGGAAGTAAAGCTGCAAGAGGGATATTACATAATGGACCCTGAAAAAGCAGTTGAGCTAGTGGATGAGAACACCATCTGTGTAGCAGCTATTCTGGGATCAACGCTGACTGGAGAGTTCGAGGATGTCAAGCTCCTCAACGACCTCCTTATGAAAAAAAATGAGCAGACTGGTTGGGACACCCCAATCCATGTAGATGCTGCTAGTGGAGGATTTATTGCTCCTTTTCTTTACCCGGATCTCGAGTGGGATTTTCGCCTTCCATTAGTGAAGAGCATCAATGTTAGCGGGCACAAATACGGCCTCGTATATGCTGGTGTTGGTTGGGTTGTATGGAGGGACAAAGAGGATTTGCCTGATGATCTTGTCTTTCACATCAACTACCTTGGATCTGATCAACCAACTTTCACCCTCAATTTCTCCAAAGGTAACACATTGCTTTCATTATGTTTGGGTAATTCTGCGGAAGTCTTTAATTCTAGTATTTAGGCTAACCATTCAGCTTATGAACAATAAGTCTAGAATTAGTTTTCTTTTGAATAAATTTTATTAATTATTTTTATCGTAACAATCTATTAATCAATTCTGTACAAGTTTGGCCACAGGTTTCATTTGTTTCTGCAAAATAATAATAATAATAATAAAAAAAAGATGAAGCAAATGTTAAATTCATAAGTCACTGAGTTGTGGACCTTTAAAATATAAGTCACAGAGTAGTGGACCTTTAAAATTTCTATAAATCAAGTCTACAGCTTGGTTGTGTAGCATAAGCCCTAAGAGTTGTGGACCTTTAAAATTTCTAAAGAATAATTTATAATTATAAATTCAGGTCCTATACGTGTTACTTCCAATATTAATGTGGAGGTTTTTGCTTTTCTTACACTGATGATAATTTATTTATATTTTTTCTGCTGCCAATTCTCTCAGGCTCTAGTCAAATAATTGCTCAATATTATCAGTTTCTGCGCCTTGGTTTTGAGGTAATTGCATTTAACTTCGAACAAACTATGGTAGTCATGAAAATAAGAGAAATATATATTCTTATTAATTTAGTTATGCAACTGCTTTTTTATTCTTTTATGTTGTTGAATTTAGAAAATAGTAGATGCCAATAAGATGTTCCTACAAACGTTAGAAAAAAAAAAAAGAATTTTGCAGCATAAAAAAAATTCTCTTCACATGATGACGGATGTTATGCTCTCACAAAACTGATGTCCGTTATTGCTCATTCAAAGAGAATGAATATTATTTGATTATGTATGGTCATCATCTAATTTTCAAATGAAGATTAAAGGTGGTGACATTTCTAAGGTTTAATTATATAGGATTTTATTTGTATTTTCTATTTTGAAGTTTGCATGATTTTGTGGATGCAATAGGGCTACAAGAACATTATTGAGAACTGCATGGAGAATACAAGAGTGCTTAAAGAAGGAATAGAGAAAACGGGGCGGTTTGACATAGTGTCTAAGGATGTAGGAGTGCCGCTGGTGGCCTTTACTCTAAAAGATAGCAGCAAACATACAGTGTTTGAGATATCTGAGAGCTTGAGAAGGTTCGGGTGGATCCTTCCAGCTTATACAATGCCTGCAGATGCACAGCACATTGCTGTTCTCCGAGCTGTGATCAGGGAGGATTTCAGCCATGGCCTGGCTAAAAGACTTGTCTCACACATTGAGCAAGTTCTAAAGGAAATGGACTCGCTTCCCAGTCGGCTCTCAACCATTAGAGCTGTAGCTGATGATGGATCAGGTGCGAAGCAGCACCATAAAAAGAGCGAAAGAGAAACTCAAGAAGAGATCTTTAGGTACTGGAAGCGGCTCGTAGATCGCAAGAGACTTGGAGTCTGTTAGACCATTGAAGAAAGGCCCCCAACAATTAATATTTGCTTTCCGTAACAAGTTATATATTGTGTTTACTTTGAAATGATTTTCTTGCCTATTATTCTCTGCTACACTTTTTCTTATCATGAATATTTTTTGTTTGAGTTTTCTTGTTCTTCACCATTTATTCCTTTCCCACAATGAATTAAGTGACCGTGATAAATTACATTTATCATTGAATTGAAATGATGATGAATGAACAAATGACTCTTGCATTATTTCAAAAAAATTGAAAATTACAAGGGCAAATCGAAAATGAAATGAAAAGGATGAAAGAAGTTCAAAAGGATGATCCTTGTGGCTTACAAATGGAAAGAAATGTTCCAAATGTTGAGATCAAATGATGAAACTAGAGAATTTTGTGTCACAAATTGACTGATACATTTGCTAGCTAAACAAGCTAAAGATGACCATAATAGAAAGCTAAAAGGGAGAAAAAATATGAAAAATATTCTTGAGAACCATTTATCACAATTAGAGATCTATGACATTAACCTTTGCATTTCATGCATTGCATTCATTGCATCCATTAAAAGAATTGCATTCATCATCATTCATTGCATTCATTGAAAATAAGAAAAAAAATCAAACTTTGAATTTTGAAATTGAATTTAGAATTTTGAAAAATCATTTCATTCATTGTATGCACTCATTGAATATGCTTGGAACGTCAAAGGGAGAAAGTAGATATTGTGGTGATTTTGAGAAGAGACATTAATGAAAGAAATCATTGTAAGGTAAGATTTTTTTTTTTTTTTTTTTAAGTTTCAATATCTATGTTAAGGATAAACTTTTTTGAAGTTAAAAATAATTTATAAGATTTCAATGCATGATCTTGAAAATCCTATATATCTCTTTTAAAGTTTCAATACTTCAACCGTGGGAGAACATTTAATTAAAAATTTCAATGTCTTAATTATGAGAGAACATTTTATTTAAAGTTTCAAGCTACAGTTGTAAAAGTATATTTTATTTAAAATTTCGATGTCTAAGTTGTGAAAGAACATTTTATTTAAAGTTTTAAACTTTAACGGTGGAGAGCATTTTATTTCGAAAAGTTTTAAAGTCACTATTGAGCATTTACGATTTTCTTTTTTGAATTTTTAAACAAAATGAATATATTTTATCTTTAAACAATTCCTCCATCACCAAAAATGCACAAAGAGGAACAATTATACACATCCTATTTTATGAGAGAATATTTTCAAAATTCATTAAGTTTCAAATTTTAATTTGATTGTAAAATCGTAAATTAGCCTTAATACAAAATTTTGAGTCCAAAGATTAAAAGCTCAAAAATTTTAGTTTTAGTTTAATTTTAATTTTGATTTTAATTTTAATGTTATTTTTAATTTTATTTTTAGAGTCAAAGTTAAAAAAAAAAGTCAGAAAACAGAAAAGAAACGTTGCGTTATTTTTGCAAAAAGAAAATTTTAGATTCGATGCTTGGATTTTGGTTGAAAATTAGAATTTAGTTATTGATTGCTTAAGGAAATACTAGGAAGTTAATCCATTGAAGAAGGAAAGACTGCATAAAAATAAAATCTTGGGGATTTTTCCTAAATCTGGTCGAATTAAAGTTTTCCTAATTAAAGTGGGATTTTATCCCTATAAAAGGTTCTCAGTTTGTGATCGAAAAGGGGGAGTAACACAAGAAACAAGCAAGAGGCAATCTCGAGCAAACTCTTTGAATCAAGCAATCCCGGTGCGATTGAAAGAGCAAGCATCAAGTACTAAAAAAAATAGGCATAAGCAATTATCACGTGAGAAGCAATAAGCATCAATCAAATTCATAAGCAATAAAGAAGCAATCAAGCACAGACAATAAGCACTAAACAAACACAGAAAGCAATTCAGCAATAAGCCAATAAGCAATTCGACAGGGCAAGAAACAATCAGTAAGAAGCAGGAATTTAGCACAGAGACAACCAACAATTCCAAGCTGCAAACAATCCAAGCATATGCAGATAGAGAAGTAGTTTTCCTAATCCTACACAAAAGTACATAGTCCTACATTGACCCAGAAAACCCAATATCCAGCATTTTGCAATGAAAAACCCAAACTCATACTTACAAAATCAAGCCACCCAGAAACATCAATCAAGCAATCCAGTAAGCAAATTTACCACCACAGTCGTAACCATCAACAGCAGACATTATACAGAAAAAATAAAGATTGTAGCACAAGCTTTCAGTAGCCAACACAAACCCCAACTACAATAAAAAAACAGAGAATCAAGAACAAAAGAGTAATAAAACTCGACAACCCATAAAAACCAATTTTTGCAGCGAAACCAAATCCATCCAAAGACCTTCAATCGACAACCACAGTCCATAAAACACAATCATCCATCAGTTTCTGGGCTTTCAAAGAAGAGCACAAGAGAAAGAAAAAAAGGGGGAAAGAACAAGTGCAGTGGCCAGTGGTGGCGACGATCAACGAAAGTTGCCGCAAGCTTCGTCTGCAACTAGGTTGTTTGGCTGGGTTGTTAATCTGGTTAGAAAAAAGGCAAAAGCTTAAACTTGTAGAGAGAGAAGTAGCTGATGGAGAATGAAGGAAATAAGCTGAGTTTCTAGGTTCTATTCAAGACTTCAAACGGTAATGTTTTGAGTTTAAAGATAACCGGACCCGCATGTGACCCTAGACCTGAACTGTTTCTTAGTATAGGTTTTATTTTATTTTATTTTCTATTTTTATTTTGTTTTGTGTTGTTATTTTATTTTATGTTTTTATTAATTGTGTATGATGAGAAAAAAAAAAAAGAAAAAGAAAAAAAATTTAGTGAGATATTTATAATTTACATGTTTTATTTATGATTTTATTTGCATACTTTTATATGATTTTTTTGTATGAATAGTTATAATATTTACTTACATGATTTTGCATGAATTTAATTTACTTGCATGGACAAAACCAGGTTTTTTACTTTGGAAGGGTCAATTTAAAAGTAAGATTAATCGATAAAAAATCTAATAAAAAATTAACTTTAAATAAAATATAATATAATTAAATAAAAAATATAAATTTCTTTTCACGATTAAAAGAAATTTGTTAGATATTTAATAACAATTAAAATTTAATTAATAATTTTTTGAAAAATAAAAGCTAAAAGAAATACATTAAAAGATTGAGTTTTAGAAATGAAAAGTTAGATAAAAATAAAAAAAAAATTATAATGTACAATTAAATTTATCATTTTATGTGCACAATATATAAATAGGTAGTTAAATTTTTTTAATTGTATATTTTTCAGCCTATATAAAATTATATTTGGACATATAATTAATGTCAACATGCTTGTTTAATTAATTGAAAAAAAATTTAATTTTAAGGAATAAAAATTTTAATAGAATAATAATGATTACCTTAAAAATGATAAATTTTTTATTAAAAAAAGGGAAAGAATCAAATTATTTATTACACCTACAAGTAAAAATTTTAGTAACTCATTAAATTTACCATAAAAAGATCAAATTATTAATTTTTTGGGGGTAAAACATGATTTTTACATTTTTACTTGAAAATATACTTCTGCTGAAGTAATTATAAGGAACCAAGGAGGGCAAGGCAAGGCTCTTGCCAACCCCCCTCTAGATTCGCCTCTGTTTGCTTGTATTACTTGCATGATTTTATTTACATAATTTATTTATTTGCATGCTATGATTTTTTTTTTTTGTTTGGCATTAATAATTATTAATATGTTTGCATGATTATTAATATATTTGAATGATTATTAATTAATTATATGATTATTAATATATTTATTTGTGTAATTTATTAATTAATTGAGTTATTATTATATTTATTTGTGTAATTTATTAATTAATTACATGATTATTAATATATTTATTTGTGTAATTTATTAATTAATTGATTGTTAATATTTTTATTAGTATCTATTTACATGATATTTTTACATAATATTTTATTATTGCATGATGTTTGCATGATTTATTACATGATAAATTTACAATTACTGCATGATATCCTTGCATGATTGTTGATATGATTTATAATATATTTGCTTGATACTTGCATGTTTTATTGTAATATGATTGCATGATTTTTTTATATAATTTTTGTATGACAATGTTATGTAGATAAATAAAAGGATTGGAATTGATTTTTGTATGATTTATTTACATGATAAAAAAGAATATTTATTAAGATTTAGATAAAATAATATATAATTAATGTGGTACAAATTTTAAGCGTAACGGGATGATAAAATTTTTTTTGCATGTAACTAATTTTTGAATATAGTTTTATTAATATAGATCAGAATTTATTTTTTTTTAAATCTTTAACTTAAGTTTTTAATTTTCTTAAAAAAAAAATATTCATATAAGTGATCAATCATACTTAAATAAAAAAAATTGATAATAACCCTATTAATTTGTTTTTAATGCATAGTTTTCGGACCTAAATGTTTTGACAATTAGTATTTATAAAAGTAGTTTTTTTACCTTTTTAATTTTTTTATTCTTTTGATATTTTCTATTTAAGTGTTGTTTTATCTTTGAAAAATCATCTAAAAAATCTTAAAGAAAAACAAGGTATATTGCTAATTTTTCTTTTAGCCTCTTTTCATTCAACACTGACCATGAAATGGGCAACCTCTTTTTTTTTATTTGACCCATCATTCTGAATATAAAGAGAATGTTAACTAATCAATACTTTATAATTTGATTATGAGGACGAAATTGATAAAATATGGAAGAAACAATGTTAACAAAATTCTTTAATTTTGGTTGGATTCACCCTAAATTCTTATAATAACATTAGGAATGCCAACTAATTAATACTTTACAACTTTGGCCAAAAAAATTAATACTTTATAATGTAAAAAATTTAATAAAATTAAACAGAATAAATTGATATTGTTAGTATTTTTAGAAAAAAATTAATTATTTTTATTTAATTATTAGTGTTATCCTTACTTTGAATTCGAAATAAAATGTTTTTTTCTTAATCTATTACATTTATAAAAGTTATTCCCTGACAGTCTTGAAAATAAAGATAAACAATGTAAAAAAAAATAAAAAATAAAAAGGTAATTGTGGAAAGAAGGCTTCTCCAGAAGCTTATCCAAAAGCTTGAAGGGAGAAGTATTTGCAAAACTCTTAACGTCTCCTCGAACTCCAAAAACAAAAAGAAAGTTCCAGTAACTCAATCTATCCTCGACAAGAAATCCAATTCAAAACAAACCTTAAAAACCCTACAATCTCATGCCACTCCAGCTGCCTTACTTTTCTCTTCAGTATTGTTGAAATAAATTGAAACTATCCAGAAGCTTCTCTCTCGATTCCCCTTCTTTGTTGCCGCCCTTTTTGCGATTTTTATTGTTGTTGAAAATAGAGAGAGGTTCAATTGAAAATTCTCGAACTTCCCAGAGATGGAGTTAGTCGCCAGATGAAGCGAGAAGATTTAACGAGGAAGAGGAAGGGTTTTCGATTGGGTAATTTTCCTTTCACTGCATACAATTCTTATACTAAAAAGAAACAGTTTTCCCAGATTGTGAACCTTTTGGGTTTAATAAGAATAATAAATACTGAGATTTTATTTTGCATAAATAAGAAACTGTCAAAACCTGAATCTTTTGTTTCTCTTACTACAGTTGTAAGAGGAGGGAAAGCCAGGAAAGAATTTGCTGTCTTACTGCGAAGGTGTAGAGCTGCTATTGTTATACAAAAGTAGATTAAAGGCAGGAATGCTAGGAAAACATTCAAGAACATTAATGAAGCTTCACTTTTGATAAAATCAGGTAAGTATTTATTTATTTTTCGTTGAGTTTTGATAGTTAACATGCAAAGCAATATAATGCCTCTTAGTGTTTTCTTGAAACTTAAGTTTAGAAGAATTGAAAATGGCTTGGGTTTCTAGCTACCATGGTCAGGTCAATTTGAGGATAGAGATGTTCTGCATTTCAACAACTGGGTTCTTTATGTTAAAGATATTTATATACATCAAAGTGCATTTCTAATATAAGTTCTAGGAATTTAAAAAAGATGATTGAAAAGCATTTAAGTCTGTATGAAATTGAATACCCTCCGTAAGTAAATGTGATAAATTTGGTTTTGGCTGCCAAAATTTAGAAAGATAACAAAGTAGGTTTAGGTTAGATATTTTCTTATGTAAAGTCATAGTAATTGAAAATCATGTCACTGAAAGTTGTACATATAATTTCACGATTGTGTGCTCTATGCTGCAGTAATTCATGGCTGGTTGGTCAGAAGATGCTCTGGAGATATAGGATTAGTCAAATCTGGGGCCTCTAAGGTACAACTGTGTGCTCTATACTGCAGTTATGTAATTCTTTATTAGTATTTATCTTCATGTAAGTTCTCAGATTCATGTTGCATGTATTTGTAAATTGCAATGTTTCGATTTTTATTGGATTGTTGAATCTATCCCAAGTCTAAAGGAGCATTGGATCATGTACTGCTCTTACTTTCTTAGTATTATTGATAAAATAAAGATAAACATTGATAATTAATTGTAAGTTAATTCCTATCTCTTTCAAAAGATCTCAAATTCCATTTTCTGAAATTGGATCAACACTTGTTTTGATCCTAAACCAAAGGCAAAGAACAATATTCTCTGTATATATCGTTATTAAAGACAAAAAATATATATATATATAAATGTACACGAACCAACATTTCTTTGGAATCCTTGCTTAGCTAATCACCTTTTCTTTTCTTTCTAATTTCCTGTCCCATTCCTTTTTTTTTTTAATTGTATCAATGATTTTTCAAAGAGATTTTGCTTTTATATAACCATCACCATTTATGCATTTTAAACGAGTTGATAAAATTGTAGAAAGTAATAACATACTCTTGGGTATTTTCTATCTTTTGGAGATTAGATATTGTGATGATTTACTTTAATCTATAAAACATGAAGGTCAAAACTACAGAGCTGCTATCAAGAAAAGACAGAAGGGAGTTAGGATTAATTCTTTCCTGATTCAAAGATCTCTGCTTCTTAATTGTTGCAATAGTTTTCTATACAAGGAAGTCGACGAAGTCTTAAATATGCCCCATGAGATACAGATTATTTACATTTATTCATAGCTTAAAAGCGCCTAATTACTCATATAATAACTTACGGAGCATGTTTTATTAATACAAGAAAGTTGTAGTAATTCTCAAGGGCCTTTGACTTTGAACAAAAATATAGTAGTTCAGGTTTAGCTGCCACCACCTCCTGCTGATGTTCCAGGTTTTCCTCTGTGTGGTGGTTCATGATTAGGATTTGGAGTAATAGGAGAATAGTCCAGCATTGAGACAATTTGTCTTCTCCTAGCATACAAAATCAAATACAAAGAGAGCTTTTTTTCTTCTTAGAGGCAACCATGAATGCGCATCAATCAACCTTGTATATGGGTACTATGATGAGTGCAAGAGAAGATTTAGTATTCATGTCTGGAAGATATTTACTGATTGCTTTAATTGGCTTCCTATTGCTCCTCTAATTGATGAGAAGATCCTTTGCATGCATGCTGGATTATCTCCTCATTTGAAAAAATTGGATCAGATCTGGAAGAAAATTCTGTTTAATATATCTACAATAAACGTGCAGTCAACTTTATACTGAAAAATTTTACTTAGTGATCAGAAAAGATTGAAAATTTATAATCAGCCCTTTATGCATAATTTCTATTTTTTTGGTTCCTTTAGTTTGGCGATATTTGCATGGCTTATTCTTCCATATCCACTGATTGTATGAATTTTACAATGAAATCAAAGTTTGTTTGAGTTACTAAAATGTGATTCCTAGAATTCTGTTCTAGCGTTTGATGGCCTTAGAAACTAAACAGACCTTTTTAATATCTCTCAAGTTCTACTTTGTGCTATTCCATGTAGGCATGGTGATGCTAAAGTTGCAGCAAAAGGTGGAAAAAGTTTTTCAGCTGTTGAAGATGACATGGCAGATGTGTATCCATTGCAGCTAAGACTTTCTATTCCACAGGAAGTTGGGAGTAAAAATTAGCAAAAAGGTAAGTTCATTCAGTTAACCCATTATTCCACTTTTGGTTTGTGAACATGTATTGTACTAGGCTGACTATAGATTTTATAATGTCTAACTAGCTAGACTAGAATGCCTAGACATTCTCACATTTTGATGTGTTTTTAAATTTTTATATTACTGTTTGCAACAATCAATATGTTATCTGTAAAATGGAAATAGAGCATGATAGCATAATATTAAAGGTGTATACATTCATTTTTCACTCTGGAAAGCGGCTAAGCATATTTGTTCCATTTTTGTTATAAAGGCATAGTTTCAAAAATAATTAGTTCATTTGAACCAGTGCTATTTTTATCATCTATCCATTAACTGGACTAAATGTAATTTCTAATTTGAGTCCTCTATTGTAAAAAAATGGCTCAGTATAAAACTATATGAATTGACTCTCTATAAATAGAATGCATGGTTCTTAAGATTTTGCTTCTGTCTTGGAATTTTGGATGATATTACAATTAGAGCAGTATTAGGGTGATGCTATAGTTTGTAGTTTTCTCTCCTGTACTCACGAGATGCATTTTGCATTAATTTTTTGTTTGGTTAAATTTCTCAAGCTCATACATTTTTGAATCATTAACCCTCCATATTATCGATGCCTTTGGTTCGGTGTGCCTATATTATGTTTCACTTTTTACAGGACAATGCAGTGGAACTTTTCAGAAGAGCCTACAAAATTTTTAGTGCAGACTCTGAGCACGTAATTTTCCATATCGTTAGGAAGGATTTTTTTTATTTACTGAAATGGGATTGCCATTTAAGTTTCTCTATTTCACAGTTTTGCCGGGCTGACAACTCTATATTTTGTGAATGAGAGAAATAGATTTCTCAAAGACTGTCAACGCCAATCAAATTGGGAAGTAGGAGGTAATTTTTCTTTTAAATGAGATATTGGTTTGCATCGATTCATTTGTTTGATTCTGTCCGGTCTCCCTCCAAGATGTCATTCTTAGATTTTTAAAACCCACTGTTTTAACTATTGGGTTTGTCTGCATGCCTTGCTTCTAAAAATGAAGTTCAACATTTAAGAAATTGGTTGTGCTAGCCTAACCACTCAAGCTTATAGAATCTTTGACTAAATACACTATCTTCATGTTTTACCTATTATAATTATTCTTCAGTAGAATATTTTAGTGAAATTCACCTCTCATATGATTGTTACAAATAGAACCAATTCACAAACATTGCTTTCCATCGTATCTTTTAAACTCTGATGTTCAGCTAAACCACTTGGTTTCTATCATATGGGATATATCCAAAAAAGAATATTGTAAGAATCCTTTATTCAGATGATTAAGATTACACAAAATGAATTTTGGTTTTGAGACAAGATCTTGACATTTGAGTTTCCTCCTAGAGAGTTCCACGTTTCTTTATGCTTATAAGGGATGTTCTAGCTCCAACATTTGTTCTGCACTCCTTTTCCCATTTGATTGATTCTTTTTTATGGTACAATTTAAGGTCATGAAAGAGAAGAGGCCTTTCACACATGTGAACACATTTCTTTCGGGGACAGAGGTTGCAGCTGAAACTGCTGCTACTGTGGCTTCAGTATCTTTGGTGTTTAAGACAGCTGGCTCCACATATTCAAGCACGCATCTTAAGCATGCCAAGCAACTTTTTAATTTTGCATACAAATATAGGGCTCTTCAATGTGCATGCAGCAATTTTGATATGGAAGATTGATAAATTGGATTTTGTTGCATGCCTGGGAGCCTTTCTTGGCGTAGTCTATTCATCAGTTGAGATAGACCTCCTTTCCGAATTGCTATCCGCTACCTAAAATTCCTGAAGATGAATTACATTCTACTATATGTTTTACTTAATTCTTTTGTCACTTAACTCCAGGGCTGGTCTCTATATTTTTTGCTAAAATCCTCTTACAAGTTACTAGGCCTCGAACTGCTATTCTTGGGAACCTACCTAGGACTATCTCGCTGCGAAGTGCAGATTTTTTTATCTAATAAAAATTAAAGAATTAATTAAAAATTTTAAAAGAATATTCTTTGTCTAGATAAAATATTCTAATTTCATTCATAGATAACTAGAATTGCATCAAAAAATGTGGTAAGATGATAAATATTTAGCCCCAAATGTAATACAACAAGTGTTTTAACCTATGGGATTCATAGATTGTTATTATATTTTTTATAATTTTTATATTATCTTAATCAAAGACTATATATTTTAATTTTTTATTTGTAAAAAAATAATTTATCACTAATTGATCTTAAAGTTTTTATTTTAAAAATGCATATATATATATTTATAATCTATTTGATTCATGATAAAAAATGAAAAAAAAATAAAAGTATTTGATTCATGAATTATAAATTATCTAAAGTGGTTAAAGAAATACGTAGAGTATAAAAATGTTTTGACATGATCAAAAAAGAAAAAAAAACCTAAAGTGGTTCAGAAAACCGTTTGATTTATGAATTATCTTACAATATTCTTTAAAATATTGAAAGTATATAATTATAAATTCTAAACCAATGGTGATGATATATGATACAATCAAGTTGAGCATCTCTTGAGTATTTATCTTAAGATAGGAGTACAAAATATAATATTTTTATCATTGGTACCTCTTCAATTTACCAAAAACAATTATTCACGAATTAAAACGAACAATGAGATGAATATTTTTCCTCTTATTTATTTTTATTAAAATCAAATTGTATAATTTCAAGAACTAATTGATAACAAAGCAAACTGTTTCTGAAATGTATGAAAAGTGTGAAAAGTAAAAAATAACATTTCTTGATAATTAGAAAAACAATATGAAGAATCAAAAATACAATTTTAAGAAAAATATTCTAGTAAGTCATATTTTAATATAACTTTCCTAAAAAACCAAAAGAATTTTAATAAACATCTATGATCATACCATCATTTTGTGATAAATGATCAAAACTCTTGAAAAAAAAAAATATATATATATATATGTATATGAAAGAAAAAGTTAGTAAATGAGTGTTGAAAGAAAATTGCATTGAAATAAATATTATTTTTTGTAAGTATAAAATTATAAAAGTAACAATATATCTTTTAAAAATGGTTATAAATTGAAAAGTAATAATGGTGTAACACATACCATTTATAGGTTTATTGCAATTAAGTGTATAGATAATTTTCAATTTGATAATTTTAATTGGAATTTAAAAGATATAATAAATGATATATATCTCTATAAATTTTAAAATATTTTAAAAAATAAATGAATATAAAAAATTTATGAAGGTAAAAATATCCAATTTTGAGATTTTAAAATTTAGAAAAGAGATATATCTACATAATTAATGAAATCTAATTAAATAAAATTAACTTTTAAAATTTTAATTTTATATTATAATTTATTTTTTATTTTAAATGGATAATTTTATCTATTTAATTATTTTAAATTTAAATTGACTAAAAGAAATGTTAATAATGTGAACCAATAATTAAAAATTTAAAATAAAGACTTCATGTAACAAGATATAGCTAAAATTGGAACAACACTTGTAGTAAAAAGTAATAGAGAGTTAATTATAGATAATATGATAAATTTTTATTATATATATATTTATATGAATTTTTTTTTCATTTAAATTTTGAAAGTTTTGGATAACTAAATAATTTTTCAAATATTTTTATAAATAGTCTAAAATTAAAAAAAATATCTTATGTATAATTATAAAAAGAAATTTGAAAAATTTTCTTACGTATCGTAAAAAAAAGCTATCCACATAAATATTTACATCAACAAGTTTTATCTAATAACTATGCATCATATAATATAATATTATATATGATATAATTGTAAATTTGATCATTTTTTCCTATTATCTATAAAAAGTTATATAAAGTTGCTTAGACAAAAAATACTCTATAGAATGGGCTAAGAGATATTGCCCATAAAATAAATAATTAGGTCCAACAAAATTTGAGTAACTAATGAGTGTTGGATTGAAAATCTATTATTTAGTGATTAGCTAATTAATTAAAGCTCAAACCGGATAAGGGCTAATATCTTTAGATTGTTGTTAACCTAGTGAAATTGATTAAATTAATTGGGTTGAGATTGGTTTAGTTAAAAGATCATGAATACAGGCTCAACCCGTTGAAAGCCTAATAGTCTTTATTTAATTGATGAAAAAGAGTGCATGATCAAAAAGGAGTCTAACAGGCTCAACCCGTTGAAAGCCTAATAGTCTTTATTTAATTGATGAAAAAGAGTCCATGATCAAAAAAGGAGTCTAAGGAGTCCAAATCAAGTTGGATCTCTATGGTAGCTGGCTTTGCTAAAGAAAATCTAGCTTAGTGAGTAAGTACCAGAGGCTCCAAATTCGTGCTAGGAGGGGTTTAGCACTCCGATTAAGGTAAAACAAGAGATTTAAGAGGTTTAACGTGATTGAACTCTTAACACATTGGAATATAGCAGAGTGGAATTAATGCAGGCGAAAATTCAGGAAGTAGTAGAGATATATATTCTAGCCTTCATCTGGGACGATTGTCAGTTTTTAAGCAGGGAGTATTTTAACTTTAAGGCAAAGGATTCAAAAGCGATTAAAGCTAAAATTCAACTAGCAGTTACATGGACTAGAGAATAGCACATGGAGAAGTTTTCACTAATGATAGACAAGTGAAGGGCACAAAGAAGGAGGTGGCAGCAGTTATAGCTAGGGAGTAGTTGGAATTTCTATAACTACTTTAATTTGACTTGTATAAACACAAGTTAGAATGATGTAAAGGGTCTCAGAAACCACAAACACTATACAACTAGACTTATCTTAATTTCAAGCACTTTTGCTTTGTCTTTTAACATTTTTATCTTACCTTTTAGTATTACTATCTTTAACTTTTTGCGTGTAGGAGTAGTCTGAACTTAGCTGACTATCAAAGCTTTCTTCTTTGTGTTGCGTATTCTCGCTATTGTTGGAGGAATTAAGGGTAAGAACCCTTAGATCGCCTGTGTAGTCAAACCGCCATAAATTCTTCCTAAACAAAATCAACCAATAGAATTGACAAGCCTGGTGGGATGATTTGGAAGATATTGCAGCGAAGAAGGAATCAATTTGTCGATGAAGAGACACAACTGGAAAGCTAGGCAGAAGGTAGAATTTCATAAAACCTTCCCGAGGATGTTCAACAAGCTGGAGGAAACGAGCAACTTGTCACGGTAAGTCAGGCGATACTAACTACTGTTTTTCGGGTTGCACTTGAGAATGTAGGTTTTAGTGTGAACCATAACATCAATAGTTCCATGGAAACTGTGTTCGAGAGGCAAAGTCGCACTCTAGTTGATGACATGAACATTTTCAACCAGAATATAACTCATTTGTCAAACACCCTTTCAGTATCCTCTTACTTACATCAACCTCAACGGCTTAAAGAAAACGATGTTCACCAACCTGCTGCTATAGACAAGGCAAATTGACAAAGGAATGAGCTTTTAGGACCGGAGTGAACTACGTTAACTTTAACTTTCTATGGTAAATCATGCCATTGTACACCAACTATTCGCTATAGATAGATCAGATGGACAAAAGGATGAACCTATAAGACAAGACGGTATGTCTAAGACATTGCTATAGATAGGGTAGGCGGACAAAAAGATGAACCTATAAGACAACAGGGTATGCCTAAGACATTGGAGTTGAAGGAGAAGAGGAACCTAACTCAAGCTAATGATATCTCGAGTTCAAGCCAGAATCCAAACTTCCAAGGCTTAGGAGGTAATGCTGGAGTGTATCAGGTAAGAGTCCAAGCTTACAAAGTCTAAGGGTTAGCAACTTAGAAACCAAGTCAGAACCTGTTACATCAATACCGATGCCCAGTGGTACGACATGAAATATTTTTGCCAACCCCATAACCAATTGTTCCACAATCATTGTATAGACATCCCAAGGTTACTTAAGTTCCGAACTTTATTTGGGTTTAAATTCTGTTTGATGTTTTTTGGACCTTAATTTATTGTTTAGGCCATGGCACTCAAACTAAGGATCCATTTTATTTAATTATTTATATTTTAGTATTTTATTTTCGTCTATTGTTTTTTTTTAATAATTGAAAAACAAAAGGACACAATTTGAAAAAAGTGGGAAAGTTTGAAGTTGGTTTGGACTGTAATTCCATGGAAGACAAATTTCTCTTTCGATTTGAATCAAAGACTAAGATTGAAATCTTTTGGAATAAAACTCTTTTAATTAAGAGTTCGATGGGAACCAAGATTGAAGCCTCTATATATCAACACATGGAAAAAGGAAAATTTAAAAGTATCTTCTGCCATTGAGTTATTTGCGTTTCGGGTCTGTTTGATTTGAGTTTTTTGGATTCCTAGGTTCTTAAAGGGGGAGATTCGCAAAAGGATTCTAGCGGTGTAGAAATTGTTGAATTTTTTATTTTTTTTTTGGGTTTTCTAGACAAAAAGGGGGAAACAGTGGAACACAAGTAATAATTAATCAAAATAAGCAGCAACAGAATCCAACATTAAGTACAAACACAACCCAAAATCAACCCTGAATCAGCAACCAAGTTCACAAACCCAAATTCAACAGAAACAACATAAAAACCACGACACATCGTAAGAGATTGTAGCAAAAAGATTGTAGTATAAACAACATAATTTTTTTTTATTTACGATTTTATCTCATAAAATATATCTTATAAATTTAAGTTTAAATTTTCTTTGAACGTGAGATTAAGGTATCATAAATATCCTAAGTTTGACATCCCAACAAACTCAACATAAAGCAAAAATCATGCAGACATAATCACATCATTCTAGAAATGGCTCCTACATGTGTTCGAAAGATTTCGGTTGAGATTAGAGTTTTGAAGGGTAATAGTTTTGGGGGCTCAAGATTTGGAGAACAGAAAGATACCGAGGTGAGGAGGTCCGTAGTGAAAGACGGAAAGGTTTCGATTGTCGAAACACAGCAAAGTCAAGGTTGGAGAGTCTCGGTTAAGACTAGATCTATAATGATTTATAAGGATTTTTTTAAAGAAAAGGTCA